TTTTTGGTTGTAGATGCAGTTGTATAATGAGAAATAAATTTCTAATTTTCGTATAGATCTAGTAATAGAAACCTGAAGGCATTACAATATTTGTTAAGCTATGGTGACAAGTGTTAAGTCCCCAGAGTTCAAATAACTGAAATGTAAGATATTTCTTTAAAAATTTTGCTCATAAAAGAAAATTAAGTTGGTACTTTGACCATCAAAAATCTCTAATTTTTCCAGTAGTACAGTGTTTTAGTGTTGCTGTCGTACCATGACTTCTCCTTTTTTTTCTCGGCCAGTCTGTGTTGCGTAAAGTGACACCTGAGGATGCTCCCAAGATCTCTGACCAGATAATGACAGCCTTGCTGCGCATGTTCCAGTCCACCACAGGAAAGGCTGGTGGAGTGCAAGAAGATGCTCTGCTGGCTATGTCCACACTCATTGAAGGTGAGTTGTATTTAAAAGACACTATTTTTATTGTACTAACTTTTGAAGCAGGTATGATGTTCAAATGTAAGCTTAAATAACTTTGCAATGGCACAAGTGAAGGAATTTTATACTTGTAGGTAGATATAAAGGACAAAACGATGTCTGTGATGAAAACAAACCCCTAAGTGAATACCTGAGGTCATGATTAGTCTTTCTGAGACATCGTATTGTGTATTTTTTAAATGTAGGTGTGGTAAATTTCTTTGCCATAGAAAAGAATAGATTGCAGAACAATTTGGCGATGTTAAACAATGTCTGTCAATAATACAGTAAAGCTTAATCAGTCTTAGTAAAGGCAAAAGTGAAAAGTTTAATGGAAGGCGTATTTCTTCACTGGTCAATGCTTATATGTCCACAGCATTGTTCGGCTATTTCTTCACCTTTTTAATAACACGGTTCTTGTTTGTCTTTTTGTCGGGGGGGCTCATGGTCTTGAGGTTACGGTTTTCGCCTCTCATTCAATAGGTCCTGAATAATAACTAGGAATTGTAGGATGTACTGGAATAGCTCTCATTTCTTCATTTTTCAACAGAATGGTGTATCTTTGAGACATAATATGCAGAATTGAATGCACTTTTCCATGAAATAATTGTAAACTCCCCCTTCTTTGTAACTCTTGGAAAAGTATGATTTCTGTTTTTGTTTCTATTTTTAGTAACAAGGAAAAAAGTCCCACTTCTCAACAGCTTGACAAAACAGAAATCTATTGGCTAGGTCTGAAAGACCATCCAATTCCCTTTCCATTGATATATAATACGTCTATCTGGAGTAGATAGATTATTGCATGAGGCTTGAGGGTATGGAGGACCCCTGAAACAAAGGAAGAAGCCAAAATAGGCAAAACTGCTGGGAGTTAAAGATAGAAACCCAGGGAATCTGGGTATTTGAATAAAATCACAGACCTCTGGGAATTCAAGAAAGTCTCAGACTTGCCCTGGGAAAATAACTTCATTTGCAAACCTTGATAGCCCAATTGGATAAGGTATGTTATTTCACTTTTTGCTGATAATTTTAATTCAACTCTCCTCGTTTCGAGAGTGACTTTAGGGTAAGCAAGTGGCAGTGACAAAAGAGCGAAGTCTCAATCAGAGAAATCAGTATCAACTAATGCTTTCATTGCCGGAGTTATGATGGGGTTTTGTGTTTTGTTTTGGTTTTTAAAGAGACAAAGCATAATATACTTTGGGTTTGTTTTGTTTTTTCTTGTTTGAAAAACTTAATAATGTATCAGTTGTTTTTTTGTTTTTCTTTCAGTGTTGGGAGACAAGTTCCAAAAGTACATGGATGCTTTCAAACCATACCTTCTGCTGGGCCTTAAAAATTTTGCTGAGTATCAGGTAATGCTGGCCATTTGATAGAGAGAGAAAGTCAAGATAGATAAAGATACCTTTGGCGACTGGTGTCAAACTCAGGAAGCCAAATTAAAATTACACCTATGAGTTACTTGTCAAAGTTGATAAACTATACCTTTTTTTTAACAATAATGTAATAATACAACTGGCCAAAGGTGAAGTAAAAACAAATCAAAGCATACCAATTTTTGTTCTCATGCCAATTTGTCAGAGCTGGATGTTTTACATCTTTTCCTGGCAACAGGTTCATGTTTTAAATAAGGTTCTGGTAATGCAGGATATATTTGTTTCTTGGTCCTTGAGTTTGACTCCTGTGCCATGGTCTAATGGGGGGAACAGAGGAAGCAATGTCTGTGATGAGAACATATCCCCTGGTGATATCCTGAACTCATGATTAGTCTTTCTGAGACATTGTGATATGTATTTTATTACTTTGGTTGGGGTACACTTACATTTCTTTGCTGTACAAAGTGAATTTCTATGATGTGTACATTGAATTTTAACATTTTGTTTTTATTATCTTGATTGCTTACTTATTTTCAGAAGTTTGTTCCATATGAAGAGTGGCCAGTCATTTTCATATCTGAAATAATTTACACATAAGAGAATATGTACACTGACTTTCTGTCACTTGTTTTTCAGTGCCAGGTATTATTATTTCTAGAGATTGGTTGAATTGTGCATAATCATGGCATATGTCAGCTTTACTATTGTTGTATTCAAACAATCTATATTTGATTGAATAATCAATTTGTGAGTCATAGTGGTGAAATCAGGCGCTCGTCAAAATTATGAAAGTAAAAAAACTGGCATTTTTCTGCAGGTTTGGGAATTTTTATCACATTTTTGGTTGTTTTTTATGGGGTCAATACCTTTCCTGCCCTTTAATGAACACATTTCTGTGTGAATTTTACTTTTAAAAAACGTTGATTAAAGGCATAAAAGATGTAAATTTTCAGTTTCCTCGGACTATCAAGCTAAGGAAATAATTCAACTTTGACGGCCATTTTCTTGCTAATTTAACCTCTGAAACCATGCGACCCCACCTCCTTCAATCACCATTATCTTGACTTATCCAAGGTAAATGGATATTTTTTCATCAAAATCAAGGCAAAACTAGCTTTAAAATGATACCAATAGCTCCATATGCCCAAAAGTTGATGAGTGCCTGATTTCACTGCGTGGTTTATTTTTAATAAATATATTTGTCAAAATTATGCTTGCACATTCAGCCCATATCATTGTAACTGTTTCTGTAAGTCTTGGCAGTTCTGCTGACACACACACACACACACCCTGAAATGTGCTTTGGGTATAAATTAAGGCTTTTGTTTTATTTTTCTTTTTCTTGTAATCTTTGCAGTGAACGCACCACCACAGTCTTGTTTAGTAACATGAATTACTTGTTCTTCAGGTCTGTCTGGCTGCAGTAGGTATCGTGGGTGACCTGTGCCGTGCTTTGGGACAAAACGTTCGTCCTCACTGTGATGAGCTGATGATGATGCTTTTAGAGAACCTTGGGGTTGGTAACATTTGCCTCAAACTAGGTAGCTGTACCAAGTGATGTATGTAAAGAAAAATGTCATCCTTTTATTGTTGCTCAAGTTAAATGACCTAAGTTCCATCTCCGTTTTAATGGACAATTTCCTCTTAACACTGTGCTTTGTCTGTTAACAAAGGACTCGACCTCAAAATTTTAAAGAAGAATTAGCCCAGAAGTTTGTATTGTGCAGTGTATGAAATATTTTGTAGTGGCTTTTGTTCTTACTCTTTTTCATACTCTATTACTTACAGAATATTGTTTGACCCTTATTTGAAAAGTTCATGTTTGGGGTAAGGTTCTATATTATGGAGATTCTAAATATAATTTCCATGCTGGCCAGATATAAGCCCGCAGGCCTTGAGTATGACACTGTGCCATGGTCTGATGGGGGAAACAAAGGAAGCAATGTCTGTGATGAGAATATAACCCCTGGTGAAAACCTGAACTCATGATTAGTCTTTCTGAGACATTGTGATATAATGTATTTTATAGCTATGGGGACTTTTTTTTTTTTTTTTTTTTTTTGGTTATACAAACTGAATTTTCTTATAAGGGGTTTCTAATTTGTATTATCTGGATTGCTTACTTAATTTTAAAGATACACACTGGTTTAAAAAAGTTTCAATCATGAAAATGCGCATTAAAAATGTAAGCTTGTTTCCTTTGCAATATTTACGTTAGCTGCCCACCAGTACTTAAAAGAGTATTAAATACGTTTTGAGGGTCTGGGTCATTGTTATGTGAAAAAATTATATGCATTTCCTGTATTACTGCTTATAAACTATGAAAATTGGATTTGCGAATACTAATGAAAATGAAAATCATATGTCAGTTGGAGAGATCTTTATGAATATTTCTGACATTGTTGTGTCTGCTTTGAATATGTTGAATTTATTGAATCTAGAAGCGTATGAATGATGGCTTTGGAGGGTTTCTTTTTCAATGCCCACCTTCTTTACCTGCTATGTATGTAATGTCTCTATTGGGGGGGGTTTAAAAGTTGGTAGCTGTGTATTTATTTTGTTTGTTAAGCACTCGCCACTGGTATTGGGTTGACTGAAGGGTGCCACTGGCAGGTTCTACATGTTTTTTTTTTCACTCTGTTGTCTGTAGATCTTAGCTTTTCCCTGCATTTGACTTGGTGTGGTGATGTGCCTCTCTTTGTCCACACATTAACATCCCCACCAACACTTTTTGAAGACATTTGTTGGAAGTTTGTCTATCAGAATTATAGAAAATGCTGTTCTCTTTCATTAATTGTTTCGTTGTTTGTGCTTCCCAGAATGACAGCGTCCACCGCTCTGTGAAGCCTCAAATCCTATCTGTCTTTGGAGACATTGCACTGGCCATTGGCATGAACTTCAAGCATTATCTTGATGTGGTCATGACCACGTTGCAGCAGGCGTCTCAGGCTCAGGTTGACAAGGTGAGTCACAAGAACACTATCCCTCTATGGCGTAAGAATGGAAAGTGGCTTTCTCATGATTCCTTTTCAGTGCTGTTTTAATTCCTTTTTGTTTTTGCTCTGGAAGAGATTTTGGGAGGGAGGTGAGGGGTAGTATCTTGCTTGTGAGCTTAGAGTGCTCCTCATATGAACATGTGTAATTGACCTCTCATCATGCCTAAACCCAGTGTGTCCTAAATTTTTGTGAACATCTCTCAGTCAAGCAAGGCATTTCTTTGGTTCTTTTTGTCAGAAAGAACTGAGAAGGCAAACCTAAGTGCATTTTGGCGGGACCCTAGTGTGGCCAGACACTTTCTTTTCTCTTGGCATTGTAGAATGTTTGTTATTAGTCTTCCTCAGATCAAAGAAGTTTGAGATGTTGTTTCTTCATTTTATTTGTATGTACAATGGAACCTGTGTAAGATGGGCAGGTACTGTTGGGGAGAAAAGTGGTCGCCATACGCAGGACTGATCAAAATGAAGAAAACAAACCGTTTACTTCTGAGGTTCCAACTGAAGATGGTCACAAGCTTAGGACTGCCATAAGGCTCTCTCTCTCTCTTTCTCTCTCCCCCTCTCTCTCTCTCTCTCTCTCTCTCCTCTGACTCTAGGGGGTCCAATGACTTTGGGCTCACTTTTTTAGTTTTCAAGATGGGTCAAAATCCTTTCATAGATCCCCAATTCATACAGGTTTGTGCTTGTGTGCCAAGCTTCAGGCTGATTATTCAATATTTACTATGAAATTCTTCTGCACTAAGAACTGGTTTGAAAATCCAAGATGGCCACCACAGAGACCCATTTTTCAGAAAAATTCAACAAATTCACCCCTAGTACATCCTATTTACCTATGAACTTCTTGCACAATTACATGAAATTTAATAAAAGTCGTTCGTTTAGAAAATTTTTGCAGGAGTGTCGTCTCCCCCTAATTGTTGCTAGCTTTGTTATTTTTATTATGGTTTCGTGCAAGGTGAAAACAAAATGAAATGTGTTAGATGATGAGGAAGACCGAATGCCACAGTAAAATAAACAAATGGGTTGCCACCACTTGGTGAATGAGCAACACTTCTGTTGTTATAGACTGTTTACTGATTGGGTAGGCCTAAACAGTAATCTCTCATTTCACTTACGATTTTGTGTACGAGTTGTGGGCAGGTTAAAGGGTTGTACTGAATCAAATGCTTACCTCACCAGTAGATGAAAATTTATTGTTGCTAATTGATCGACCTGGGTAAACATGAGATTTGAGGGACTTATGACGACAGGTGAATGGATTATGACGGCTCGTCCACAAAGTCATGGGCCTGTTCATAATTTATGACAAAACGTCAGGCAATGGGAGAGTTGCGTGGCGGTCTCAGTCAGATATTTTTGGTTGTCAGTTGATAAAATATGGTGGCCCCGGCGGCGTTAGACATGTGACCCGTTTTACGTTGTGGTCGTTTGTACGGGTGGCTGTCTAAGCAGGTTCGACTGTATTTGTGTCACTGCATTGTTAGTTTTTGTTATTATTGCTTATTGTTGTACTGTATCTCCTCCACAGACCGACTATGATATGATTGATTACCTCAATGAGCTGCGGGAGGGCTGTTTGGAAGCCTATACAGGCATAGTGCAGGGTCTGAAGGGAGATGGTGACACGCCCAGCTGTAAGTTGTATTTGTCTTATTCTGTTAGGCGCCACCCGAGGCGGTGCTACTGACTGAAGTGTCTTTAAGCCATTCCCAAAGGGGGGACTTTAACTTGTTCTTATGCACAGTAGAATTGTAAATAAGCTGATTCATCGATGTCATGCTCATAACTGTGCCTGAACTGCAACAGGGAACTGCTGCTTTTTCTTTCCTAATCCTTATCGCCATTTTCCCTCTACTTCTTTTGTATGTTTGTCACACTCTTGTGACCCGCTATTTCCGGAGTGCCTTGATAGTCGAAGCAGACTTTGTGCTGTTGGAGCTTGAGAAGTGAGCAGAGTAAGTAAGTCTGATTCCCTGTAAGGACTTCTCTGTTGACATCCACCCCTTGCCACTCATATGACCATATGCTGTTGCGAGCGCAGAAAAACCTCTTCTAAAACAAATATTCTGCTGGAGTTTATTATGTTCCCATATTGTCTAAGAATAATGATTTCAGATAGTGTTATATTTTCATCTATTTAATGACAAGTTCACATGGCATGGAGTTATGTGTCATTTTCCTGCCCTCACCTGCCTTTTTTGTTGCTGTTCACATTGGGTTTATCAGGCAAATTTGCTATCATCAGGCTCAGGACTTGAACTTTCAGAACAGTGCCTCATACATGTTTTAAATTGTGGTGGAAATCAAGTATACCCGTTATTCCTCTTTATCCTGCTTGGAAGTTTTAAATGTTATGGGCAAATGATTTTTAGAATAGGAGGGTTTGGTTTGTCTATTGGAAAACTAGGTTAAACTCTTGATTTTTAAAGTCAAGTTTATGTAGTATGGAGGACACTTTTCACATGCACTCCTTGGATAATCTTGAAAATGTTCTGGTCTGCTCCTTTATTTAACTTTGTTATTGTGTTTTGTTTATTATTTGCCCATTATTACGATGTAGCAGAATCATTATGATTTTTTTTTTAGTTTTACGAAAATATGATCATAATACCCTGATTCCAATTTTTTTAAATATTCAGCCACTCCAACCCACTGCCAACCTTCCCGGTGGATAGGGGGAGAACAACTATCAAACCTGGACAGTCTTTGTTCTGCTGTCTAACTTCAACACCCTCTTTGCATTGAACCCTTGTTGTCGTTCCTTGCCACTTTTCTCTTGGAAAAAGACTTTTGTAGTGCCAAAGCCAGGAGTAAGGCAAACATTGGGCTGACAAAGTGTCAGAAAAATGTTGCCCTTTTGTGCTGTGGGTGACAGCCTTGGCCAATGAAAGGATTAATAAGTGGATCATTGTTTGAAACTTGAAACGATTAATAATGGTGTGTTGTGATGAACAATCAGGACCTTCAAATTTTCTTAACAGTGACATGCCCGGCTCATCACACGTTTGTTTACGTTACATTTATAACTTACCACAACCACTGTCCTTGGCGCCCCAGTGCAGAAGAGTATCCATTAAGATTTTTTAAGCTATATTACTTTGTCCTTTGTTGATTACTAAAACATATGCTGGTGGGTGGGCAGCCCTGCTATGCCTGGCAAAAAAATTTTTTTGCTCTTATTAGTGCTGACCCACTGCAAAGTACACATCAACAGCTTGTGCTTTTCCTCTGTCTTCAGCGGATGTGGTGCTGATCCAGCCCCATGTGAACCACATTGTGTCTTTCATTGAGCACATTTCTGTGGACGACGACAAGAGCGACAGCAATGTGGCAGCCTGTTGTGGACTCATTGGGTGAGTAGGCCCTTTCCCCTGTCTGTGTTTTGGTGTATGGAGAGTGACTGCCAGGCCCTGGGATTTGAATAAAATAGCTGAGACCCTGGAATTTGAGGAAATCTGTAAATGCCCTGGGAAAGTACATTGTCTAATATTTGAAAATGAAATCTGATAACGTTGGTGTGTTAATTTTTTGTCTTTGTCATGTTTGTAGTTTTCGTTCTTGTTTCCGTTTCAAGAGTCACAAGCGTTGAAGACTGACGGTTTTGGGGGTATTTCAATAAATCACCACAACTCTCAGAATTACCCTATTGTAATTATTCTTTGACACAGTAAAGTAACATTCAAGCTAAATCTAATACAAAAAAACTAAAGTTGTCTAAGTCTAATACTTTATTTGTATGATTTTTTTTTTTAATTGGCATGAATTTGATTTTCCTAAACATTTCCAGAGACGTGACAAGTAGAATGAAATTCACTACAACAACAAAAATAAAAGTTCAAAGTGTTCTGGTTTGATTTGTATACATGTGCAAGTGTTTGGTGAAAATATAAAAGCTGGTCTGTGCATTGATTCAGACCAATACACTGAATTACATGAGACAGATGTACGGCACGACGTTGTGATTTCGTTGCGCGAAAAACAACACCGGTACTAGTGCTAGATCTAGCCCTAGAACTATGACTCGGGCCGTGTTCGGGTACATATCCAGGATCCTAACTATTAGACACATCATATTCTGAGACACTACAACTAGTAAAACGTACAGAAGTATAGAAAACGGCGAAATTATGTGATTCTTGTTCATGCGACTTCTTTGGCCGTTACTACGATGCGACTGTCGGATTACTATCAGCTGTATAGAAAAAAACAAAGCGCGAGTTCCGGTCTGTTCAACCCCAGTTGGGGTCACTGTCCTTCACCTTCAATAACTTAAAAACTACCGGCCCCAGAGATACGAAACGAAGTCTGAGTAGCTCAGGCTTGGCCAAACAAGGGTACGAGGCGGGTCTCGCGATCCGTGCGTGATTTGTAGAGCGAAAAAAAATTTCCAAAGTTGGTCACGCAGGGATTGTGAGACCCGTCGCGGCGGGGGTCATGCAACTGTTGTGTGAGCCGTCTGAAGTGAGTTAAATGCAGTGGTACCATGCAAGTAATTAATATTTGTCATTTTGCTGTCACGTATAAGAAAAGCAAGAGAAATACACATTGTACAAGATCTGGTTTGTCAGGCTTGTCATCAAGACCAGTTGTGAAAATGCTTTAACGGTGTGTTCGCATAAAGTAACATGACTTATTTTGAGTACGGCATGTACTAGAGACTTGCAATTGTCCGGTCACCGAAGTTCATTCATACTTTACACTCCACACATTTGATAATTTTGCCCTTGAAGTCATTGTACATTAGCATTTACTGAGTGGTCAAAAGTGTAGATGACTGGTGGTTGATCTGGTTTGGTTTGCTCTTTCTCTTCTCTTATTGAATATTTATCATCCTTATCCCTCCTCCTTTTCTTTGTATTGTACTCCTTTATATCTCTTGTTGATTTCTTGTGTATCCATGTTTCCCCAACCATATTTTGTTTAGTGTCTACTACAAGTTTTGAAAAGATGCAAAATTGTACGATTTTCTAGTTCAAAACAGTGGTGGATAGATTTGTATACAATGTTCAGGGTCCATTGGTAAATAGCAAAAAAATTTGTTCTCTCTCTCTTTTGACAGTGACTTATGCTCAGCATTTAGCCACCAGATGCTCCCAATGGTGGACAGAGATACAATCACTAACCTGCTCACCCAGGGCCGCCGAAGCAAGATGCAGAAGGCAAAGACCTTGGCCACCTGGGCCACCAAAGAGATTCGCAGGCTCAAGAATGCCACTTCTTCGTGGTAAGCTACTTTTGTATTCTCTGCAAGTCAAAGAATGGTTTTTAGTTTGTAATTACTCTGTCCTGGATCTGTGGTGTATTTTCCTTCTTTTCATGATTTTGGCTCTTGGGTTGTAATTTTGTAATGTGCATGTGAACATCAATGTTGGGTGTATTGCAAGCAATTTTTAACATTTAGCAAATGATTTGTTAAAAATCACGAACTCAAGTAGTGTTGGGGGGGGGAAAATCCCGATAACAATGTATACAGTAGACACTGGGATGTGTGTCCTCTGCACGACTGCATATAAATGCTAAGTTTGTCCCAATCAGAATTTTTATGTATACAAAAATGAATTGTGGACTATACACTTTAAAGGTGTGTGAGTACTCAGATTTGTTCGTTTAATACTTTACCGGTGTGTCAAAAATGTATTTTAATTGATGATAGGTGAGTTTTGAGTTTTAGTTCCAGTTGTTGTCTCATTTTGTTATTGCAAGTCCTCAAAACCCAAGAACCAAAATAACAACAAACCATTTTATGGGAGTGAAGAGTGCTTAAATAGCGTACAATGCAGAATGGTTTCAATGAGGTTCGCACACAGCACTGCAAACATGAATGCAATAGACAAATACAAGATCAATAACTCCACAATGTATTATTGTGTAAGCTTCTGGAATGAAGAGTATCAATAATCATACAAAAGCATGCTTGCTGTTGCTTACACATATTATTTTGCCAATGGCAATGGTGACTTTATGGTTTTGTTTAAGCATTTTAGTTTGACTGTACTGTAATGTCCATAGGACTTCCCATCTATCTAGTCCTTAATGCCTCCCTTCTATATTTGGTTTTTATTATAAGTAGTGATGACCTCTGGCCTTGGCCTTTAGATGACTGTCACTATTATTGTGCTACTGCATTAATCAAATGGCAAATAGTTCAACCCATGAGTGTTTGCACATTTGGGGGGGGGGGGGAATAGCTAAGATATTGTACGAAGTTTCAGCTCTTTTTAGTTTTTCTAATGTATGAAGGCTGTTTGTGTTATTTTTTAATGAGGTCTTTCTTTCTGTGAGGCACAGCGGTGAAACCAGGCGCTTGTCAAAATAATGAAATTGAAGAAAGCAACATTTTCCTGCAATTGTTTGGCAATTTTTATATTATTTATTTGTTTTGGGCTCAACACATTTTGTGCCCATTTAAAAACATTCCTGCATGGATTTTACTGAAAAACTTTGATCAGAGGCACTAAAAATGATAATTTGTTGTTTCAAAGACATCACAAAACCATTTTCTCGCTAATTTTACTTCTGACACTAGGCCACTCCTACCTTCTTCAATCACCAATATCCCGACTTCTATTAAAGAAAGATTGGTATTTATTTATTTTTTCAATTAAAAAAGCAGGCAAACGGACAGGCTTTAAAATTATTCGAATAACTCCATATATCAAGAAATTGACAAGCGCCTGATTTCACCGCATCATGACACATATGACAAGTGACTATCGATGATTGCTGTTTACATTTTTATCAAAATTAGTCGCAACGCCTGATTTCACCGCTTCATGACACATATGACAAGTGACTATCGATGATTGCTGTTTACATTTTTATCAAAATTAGTCGCATCTAATGCTATTTTTTGGGCACCAATTTTCTTTGGGGTTGTCGTTGGGTGGGGTGTATGGAGAAAGTAAGCATCCAATTCATGTGAGCAGTTCTGCTTGTATGTTTGTTTTTTCAAATAATAGGATCAAACACCATATTCATTGTTCTTTCAAATAATAAGGCTTGCCTGTTAATAGTCTACTATAATGTTCGTAGTTTTGATAACAGGTTACTCTCAAATACCTCGCTCTCTCAAATGGCTTAGCTGTGATTATTATTTATAGACTTGGTTGGAAGCTGTACTGATTTGCTTTGCTGGGACTATCTCATTTTTACTCTTTTTTCCTTGGGGGGAATGGAATATTCAATTGTTATTATGTGGGTGATGGGTTGCTCCCTTCGTGTAAAGTTTGTTTTAAAAGGAAATTTTTTATATGGCTTTTCGATCAGGAACGCTTGATAAGGAATGGGTTTGTCCGAAACATTATTTTTCAGTGGGTTGGAAGGGACTACATGTGGGCTTGAATCAAGCCAGGATCAAAGTTTTAGTCGTCACTCAGTTGTTGCCAGCCGCCGTGAGTCTGTTTGGCATGCTTGTTATGTTGCTCAATTAAGAAATGAGTTTTTCATTGGTTTTTTCCTTCACACTTTTTATCCGTTTCAAAGTTTTTGAAAAGTGCTTTGCATAGAAGCAATGTTGAGGTTATGTTTAATCTCATGCTCTCTGCATATGGGTTCTGAATTTGGTTATTGATTTACTAATGAGGGACCTATTGTAAATAGGTTTATATACTCAACAGAGCTTAGAGTGGTACTTCCTTTTTTTCTCCTGCTGCTGGATTAGGTTCTACGGGTCACCACTCCCATCCCCTCAAATAACTTGTTTCCTTTTGTCCCTGCCCATGCCTGTAAGACCAGTGCCATCCCTTTTTTACTTAAGTCCTTCAGGACTGGATTTGGGAATAATAGTCAGAATGAAGTTCATGTGTCTATTGTAATTGTGTCGTGTCCCTTACCATGGTTAGCCATTGAGTATCAATGTTATGCAGAAAAATGTGTGTGAAGAGTTTGGAGGAGGGGTTACATACCGTCTTGACCTGCTTTGTGGGTAGTCTTAGTTTTTTATTTTTTGGTTTTGAAAAGCTGGTAGCTTTGCATTTCATTTTCGTCACAATCGGTGCAAGATAGATATTCCGAATATATGTATGTGTAAAGTGGTTTGGAACATTTTGTTGTTGTTCATAGAGTAAGTTGTAGACCCATCTTACTCCCAATTCAGTTTCTCAATGTGTGATGAATATCAGCTGGCACTGGCGCACTTCATTTATCAGTCCCAACTAAACACCCATCATTTTTTCATGCTTTCTCTCTCCCAGTGTACACACAAACCTTTTTGTCTGAAGAACCGTTCGTGTGATATGAATTTGAAAGATATTAGTCATGCTGACTCTGACACTGATATTGTATTGATTACTTCAAGGACTTGACTTGTGTGTCATGACATGGTGGAATCAGACACCCGTCAATTTTGGGGTAAATGGAGTTAGCAATATAATTTTAAAATCTATTGATTTGCCTTGCTGAAAAAAAAATACCCATTTATCTTGATTAGACATCAAGATATTTGTGGTGTCAGTGAGACTGTTGTCTGTAGACTTTCTGAAGCTTTTGACTATGGGTGGGCTCTCGCAATTTTTTCAGGCTTGGTTGCTTCAGAACTCTGCCATATGCACTTTTCAGTGTTTGTTTTCATATTTCAAATGTTATCGGCTCCAGCAAAACTTAAGTTTCATTTCACCATTGTTGCATTTCAATTGCTCCCTTTCCCTGGCACATTTTACACTGCATGTGTATGTAGCTATTCCTGTTTTCATTTCTATTTACAGTTGACATTTTGTATTCAGTTTTTGTTTCTAGCAGCTTTTTTTGTGTGCTTGTGCCACACTTTCTTTTGTCGTATTGGCATTACATATGACCAAAGACCAACTAAACATTGTTATGTTGCTCTAAATTGTTGGTAACATGTAAGTGTATGGCACAGTGGATGATAGGCGGATGTTCTGCTCCTTCTTTCTTATCAAAAATCTATCGTCCTTTTCTCTCCTTCTTTTCTTTGTATGTGACTCAAGTATTACCTTTTGTTCAGCACTTAACATGACCTATTTGTGTTGCCAGTGCCTTAAAGCCTCACACAGGTTTTTGGGGTCCAGTTTGGGTCCCTTGAAAATTCTCCATAAAATTTGTAACATTGTGAGTCAATACAAATCTTTTAAGCAATTTTGAGATGTTTTTACTCTATTCCTCAAAATGTTCATTTCTTGGTTTTAAAAGCTAAAAACTCAAAAAACCATTCAAGATACAGGGATGAAATTTGGAGGATAAGCGCACCGTGCAATTCCAAATAAAATGAAGCTAGCTTTTTCTAATTTTTGGAAAAAATAGATAATTTTCTAACTTTGCTATTTTGACTATGTTTGTCATTCGCTAATATGCAAGTCTTCAAGAAGTAATGAAATTATTATTTGCAATTTCAAGATCAGCTAGCATCAGTTTCTTAAAGATTTGTGAGCAGATTACAAATTATGCAATTAGTCGGTGGCCTAGTGGTTAGGCTAACGGACTCGTGATCGTTAGGTTGCGGGTTCGGGGGTTCGAGCCGCTGGCCTGACGTTTTGTGCTCCGGGATAGGCACTTTACACGAATTTTCCTCACTTCACCCAGGTGGAAATGGGTACCCGGCCATATACAGCGAAAGATCTTGTCAGTATGTTAGTGTTTTAGCATCTATAAATGGCTTCTGGAACTTATACTGTATGCTTCCCAGTAAGTTGAGATTTTTGTTTCAGAATGCTCTCAGGTCTTCTGGGGTAATAGTATAGATTGTGAAGCGCATAGGGCTTGCTGTTGAGCAGGGATTCACGCTATACAAGTGCTATCTATTATTATTATTAGATATCATGGGTGGTTTTTGAGTTTTTAGCTTTTGAAAATGGCCTTTCATGTAGCCCTAATTTACCATATCTGTGATAATATAATTGGTACTGATTCCAAAAACTGAATATTTTTAATCCCTCAATGAAATACTTTGAGAAAATGAGAGAAAAAAAGTTAAAATAACGTAATTGTAGATTTTGGTACTAAGAAGTAGTGTGTGGGATTTGTTATTACAGCTTTATAAAGTAATCATTTTTGCAGTCCTTGTCCTTAGTAATGGGAGCGTCTACAGACATTGATATATATGTTTTGGACTGTGCCTTATATGTTGTCTCAACAAAGAGTTCTAGATTAGATTTAGAGAAATAGCTTGAATTATGAAATGATTCCAGTTGACACAGAGTGCCAAGTAAAACATGAAATATTGCTAGCTGTGCTAAAGTCTAGTTCAATTACTGTCTCTTGTCAGAAGTTTGGCCGTTGCCTTTCTCATTATTGAAAACTTTTATCTGGAGCCCTTCCAGGCTCGCAATCATTCCCAGGCTTGTAACTGACTAGATCTATGTTCATTATCCCTGTTTGGTTTGTAAGTTTGAAGTAATGATTCCATGTGGTGTATGGAGTTGTGTATTTAAGAAGGTAAACATAGAATTTAGGTTCAGCATGATAAAGAAAGCTGTGATACTTTGTCTTACAGTAATCTTATTTCCTCCTACTATGTTTCAGATGCCTAGGCTTCCATGGCCAATGACCGACTGGGACCGGACTGCAGACACCCTCCAGACTTTTCCAGCTGCTGCCAGCGTCTTGCAGTGACTGACACTTGGGGATGACAGACCCTTCAACTCTTACCCCTGCCCACCCCGACCCCTTGCTGACGCTCCTGTCTATCGGAAGAGGCCCCCGGACTGGCTAACTTCCCATCTGACTGTGACTATTAAACATTTTGACCTGGTGGCCTATGGAGGGTGTACACATCAGCCAACACCGTACCTGACTGAACGAAACTCGACCCTACAGCTCACCACTTCAACAAGAGACACAAGCATACATCTTAACCCATGGACATTAGGATTGGAAACAGACACAAAACAGACATGAATGGATGTTCAAGCATGATCAGATTGGAAGTGTATTATGGTGGTCACTTTTTTGTGCTGGCCCACTCCCCCTTTTTGTTTATCCCCCTTCCTTCACCCATTGGGTTTAGGAATTCTCCTTGAGAAGAGAAATTTCCCTTCTCTCTCTCTCTCTTTTTTTTTTTTAAGAGATGAGGAAATGCATAGCGGTACAAAGTATGCAAGTGGTGGAAAGACGTGAGAAAGAATGCACAGGAAGAAGAGCGAGAATGAATGTTGGATGTTGCTGGGAATGGAGATTTGTGCTCTGAGTAAGCAGGTGATGTCTGTACAGTCCTCACTGCTCAACTTCTTTACTCTGGTGTAATGTTCACCATGACTGGGTTCATGCCTAGAGAACCCTGTAAGAATTATGCAAATTGTGTCAACCAACCTTCAGAACCCAGACCACAAATCCTGCGTGATCGTCTGGTAGAATGCAACATGACGTGCACAGATCACTGTGTCTAAACCTACACTTCGTTGGAGACCATTCAACCATCTACTAGCTTTCTCTCTCTCTCTCTCTCTTTCTCTCTCTCTCTCTATCTCTCTCCCTCTTCTTCTCCCCCTCTCTCCCCCCCTCTCTCTCTCTCTCTCTCTGTTTTACTTTTTCTCCATATATTGTATCAAGTTTCTCTCTCCCACTGCATGGTACTGCCATCAGTTTGAGCTGTACAGAAGACTTGTGGTATTCAGACATGTATTTTATGCAGGACACATAGGCATCCTTGACTTCTGGGATCGTTCCCTTCCCAGATGCCCAGTGTCATGGTGGCCTTTGTCATTACTTTTCTCTATCCTTCTTTATCAGCTATTCTAATTACTTTCTAACTCTCTAAGCTAACTGTTGCTCAGGATTTAAACTTTTATTTTTTAGGCTGCTGTACAATTTTGTTGTACTCTTAGAGTAGATGATTTGTTTTGATTTCCAGACATTTATCCCTCTCCTGTTTATCTGGTTTGGTAACAGTAACATAAAACCTCATTGCCTTTACTTGGTCTTGCCTCTTACCCCTTAACTATCACATGATAGTTTTGGACTCTCCTAATTTCTGTCATACGCACCTGAAACCCTGATAGAATTGACTGGTTCAATTCTTTGCATTGTTTGTACTTTCCGTTTTACGAACTGTTGGTCAGGAATGACTGGTATCTCTGGAAGAGTCTTTCTTTAGTTGTACTTAGCTGTAGCCAGCCTAACGTAAATTATGATTTTGATAGTATTGTTTGACTAAAATTTAGGCTTTACATTTTGGCATAGTTTAATCTTCTTTGGTGCCATGGCTTTGCATCTGTTACTGAATGTTGTAGGTGTATGAGAAAGCTGCTGAGTGAGCGTGTGGTGTATTCATATAACGCCAGGGTACACATGTGAGGTGTGCTGTTACCCTAATGGGAAAGTGGTTGGATTGTTCAGAGCAAACTGTTTTGTGAATTAAGAAAAAAAAGCCCTTAAGGGATTGATCTTAATTAAATTTGCGAAAAAAGAGATTTTGGTGATTTTTAGAGTATCAGTGATTGTGAAGACGCTATTCGAATCTTTCTGAACATGTTGATGCCATGTTGTGCAACTTAACCAAGAGTTGGTCATAAAAAGCTTTGAAAACTAATTCCTAAGTGTCAAAATGTTGGCGTAAATATGTGTGTGTGCTTGGGTGTGAAGAGTATCTTGAGCTAGTTACATTGAGGTGCTAAGTTTTTTGTTTTGTTTTTTAAGTTGTGAGTTTGTGAATCTCTTGATGAGCTTCTGAGAGATTGTATAAGAGAATGAAAAGAATGGGTACAAAGATGTTCACATATGTACATTCACAGCACAAATACATGTACATAAACTTGGTGTGACTGCTGCATGAACACTGAGGATGTTGTACGGGTATACAAGATATTGAGAGGAAATGTGATAGTGCTGAGAGTGAGAGTGGCCAGTCGAGTAACTTATACGCGTGACTGAGGTACTGGCAAGTAGTGACTGGAGTACCTTTATTCCACTGAGTGATTGTGAAGCTAGCTCAGTGGTTGGCATAATGCAAGAGACTTGATTGTGTGTGCTTTTTCTTTGAACTCTGTTTAGAGTGGGTGTGTGTGTGCTTGCTGTTGTGAGGAAGGCAGAAACTACACAAGTATTGAAACGATGCTGCAGATATTGACAACTATATATATTAAACAGTACACGACTCACTTCCACTGACTCTACGTTCCTTCCATCTTCGGTCTTCGACCTGACCCCGACCCCTCACCGCTATGATCGTAGCATCTCCATGATGTGGAGACCAACAGAGACTGTTATTGTTGTTTTTGTCCCAGGCCTGCACAAGAGGTAGTTGAGGTGGCAGGGTGGCGGCTGGCATTTGCTTAAATAGCACTTGTCCTGGCCTTGAGAACCTCCACTCCGCCTCTTTCACCAGGGCCCAATGCTAGCACATGAGGTCGGTGAAAAGATTGGTTGGCAGAACTTTGGCTAATGAAGGAAGCGGTCCCCCCCCCCCCCCCCCCCCCCCCACGATTTGCTCCGTTCATTTTAGTTATGTTTCTTTTTCTTTCTTTCTTTTTTTCTTGAAAAAAAAAATTAATTTCTCACTCAGAATCTGGTCTAGCAATCCATTCTTGTAGGCCCAGGGATGGAGCTTATTTTTTTTTTAAAGCTTGGTGCTGTTTGCTACAGCAATGCATTATTGAACAAAATCTTTCTCCACTCATGTAGTCATGAGGTTCAGAACTTTTTCCTTCTTGCTGAAGACTGCATCCTTGTTCAGGTTGTGACTTTTAAAAATTCGAATACTTGAAATAGTGTTGCTGCCTTGTAAAGGAAAGAAAAAATGAAAGCCCCACGGGTGACCTGAACCTGTAAGAGGGGTGTTTGACATAGAGGAATGGCCTTTCTGTCCTCTCAATAAGTTCTTTGGCTTAAGCTATTTCCGTAGCCATATGAAGTCGATATTGAAAGGTGCACAATTTCTGCTTGTTCTCATAAATTTTATGGGCACTTGCGGGATCCTCCCAATGTCCAATAGACACTTTCCCTTGTTCTTTGTTCCTGTAGGTAAAACAAAACAAATGAAGAGGTCAATTTATTTTAAAATAGCCAAGAGTTTGATTAAATGATCAATGAAGATTTATCATTTCCTCCCATCTTCAGTCACTGAAACTGATATTATTGGAAGAGGAAGTGATTTTGGAACTTAAGAGGAAAATTTGTTTGAGTTTTTTATTTTTTTATTTGGATACCTACAGATCTATAGTTTGTTCCACTTTGGGGAGAAATAAGGGGGAATGACTGCAGGAAAGCTTTGGGAATGGTGACCGTTTCTCTATTTTTTGCTATCTGGCCCACCTTGCAGAATGATGGATCTCTCAGGCCTGGACATAGTGTATTTCTTTGATGCAGAAGAGTGCCTCAAAATGACAGTTTTAAAATGTGCTTATATCTTTTCTGACTGTTCTCAAAAGGAGAATGTAGAAACATCAGAGGCTTATGGTTTTCCTTATTATGTCGTCACTCATTTTGTCGTGTTCTGTTTTTTAATTTTAATTTTTTTTTTTACTTTTCTTTTTAAAAGTATTATAACACTGTGACGTACGTCATTTCTTTTCATTTTTTATGGCAACCTCATTCTACACTTTTGAAAGTGAAATAGTTAAGAACTAAAATTGATGATGCATATATTATTTTTGTTCTTTTCAGCCTGAAATGATCATAATAAAAATTATAAATCATATGAGCTTTAAGTTTGTGAATTGATTTGAGAGTCTTTCATTGTATTTGTTTGTTTAGTGATAACTTTTATTTTGTGAGATGTATTTAAAATCCAGTTCAAGAGTTGATGAATAGAGACAACTGGAAGTAGCCCGTACTTTTATACTTTCTTGTTTCATGTTTTCCTCTCACTCAAAGGTGATAGGAGCAAACCACACAAGCGCACCCCCCAACCATCCACCAAAATGTTTTCATTTGAATGAGCTGTAAAAATAAGTAAACTAATACGTGTACTAATAGTGTTGAGACAGCTGTTGTGAGGGTGGATCAGAAAGTAAAGGAAGTTGCCATCTAACAGCTAAGATATTATTGACTTCAGTCATAAAAGCAATGCACATAACTGACCTCTGTGCTCTCAAACCAACTAAAGCGGGGGCTAGTGGTCGGTCCTACTTCTTTATTTTCGCTCTGTTGTTTCTGTCTTATTTTTTTCTTAGTACAAAATAACGGTTATTGCGTTGTGGAAGTGCTTCTCGTTAGTCAACCAACCAAAGGACTTTCATGTGACGTCAGTCTTGATCATTTGTGATTATTTTATGACATCATTAAAGGATAACAGATCTGTGCGCTTTGGAGGGCACAAGACATAGTTCATAAAAGAAAACATCTAGTTTACAACTTTGTTATGCACTGTAGATTTGGCGAATCACAAAGACTATCCATGTACATGGAAGTTTGTATCGTATTTGTGCACTGTTTATTGTTGGGTAAGGGAATTTAGTAAAGGGAGAGACATCGTTTTTGATGAACCACGTTCTTGCCTCATAAATTCGCCTGTGGTGAACGAGAAAATCCCCTTGATGTTATCTAGCACTTTATTGCAAAAGATCCTCAAGAAATTACTGACATGTCTGGAATTTTCTTTGGGTCGATGCAAAATAATCGCAGGCAACTTTATACTGTACAGTACAATGGAAACCATATATAACAGGCCCGGTAATAACGGATTTTTTAAAATCCCCGTTTTTTCCTTCTCTTTGTCTCTATTAAAAGTTATTGGCTGTAACAGAGCCTCATTGGAGCCCAATTGGTTATATATAGCAGGTACAAAGGCTCGTAAACAATGTTTAAAAAGTGAGAGAGAGCGCAGTGATGGAGCAAGCCACGCCATCGCGAGCACACGCAGCGGGGGAAGCGAGAGAGGGCTGCGGTGTGCTGCACATGGCCACGAAAAAGGGCTGCGTACTTGTGGCTGGATTAGTCCACAAATGTTTACTTCCCTTGCATTTCTGATTTATTTTAACAGGGATCTGATATAACAGGACTTTTTCTCTGGTCCCGCCATTCCTTTTTTATCTGGTTTCCACTTCCACTGTACATTGTACTTGTATGGGAAAAGGGTACCGTCAAACTGAACCAGAAATTATATTGCGGTAGACATTCAGCTTAACCGGCACCTATTATTGTAAACTGTAAGCCTACATTCAAGTAGTAAATGTACAGTGTTTTTGTTTGTTTACAAAAATAAAATAAACAAAGACGGATTCAGTAACGCTTTCGCAGAGCAAAAAATTAATCCTGGTTGTCAATAGCATTTTGAACCCCTGTGCAAATTTCTTGTGCAATATAAAGAAATACCTCATTGAGATAGCAGTGCTAAAGTGGGCTCGAGAAAAATTTCGAGATGCACTTTTCGTACCCCTTTACCCACGAGATCGTACATAACTAGAGCGTTCATTCCGCCAAAAAAGACGTAAAGCTGACCTAGGCTACTTCGTAACTCGAATGCGGGCAGCCTGGTCATGACAAAAGAGGATAGAGGGGTGAGCAGAGCCCTAAGGGCTAAGAAATCTAATTAAATCCCCGGATGAGCTGAGATGCATTAGATCTACTGTGGAAACCTGATATAACAGGGATGGTGGGACCAAAAAAAAAAGTCATTTTATATCATCAGATCCCTCTTAAATCAGAAATGCAAGGAAAGTAAGCATTTGTGGACTAGTCCAGCTAGGCTTAGGGTTAGATCGAAATCGAAGTCTGCAGCACACCCCAGCCCTCCCTCGCTTCACCCGCTGTGTGTGCTGGCAGTGGCATGGCTTGCGTGGGCTCGCTCCATCACTGCGTTACTCTCTCTCTCTCTCTCTCTCTCTCTCTCTCTCTCTCTCTCTCTCTCTCTCTCTCTCTCTCTCTCTCTCTCGCGTGCGCGCGCGCGCGCTCTCTCTCTTCCTCGCTCTCTCTCTCTTTCTCTTACTTTTTACACATTGTTAACGAGCCTTTGTCCCTGCTATAGTATAACCGATTGGGCTCCGATGAGGCCCTGTTATTGCAGATAACTTTTATTAGAGATGAAGAGTAGGAGAAAACGGCGATTTTAAAAATCCCTGTTTTTACCGGAGCCTTGTAAGTTGTTGTTACCGGGCCTATATGGTTTCCACTGTATCTCCAACATGAAAACTCGACTCGTGGGACACCCTGCCCGGACAGCTTCCCCGAAGAAACCCTAGGCCCACAGAAGCGCTTCATCTCATCTTCAACAAAACGGTTCAGCAGACGCAGCTTTTTTTCCCCCTGGGAGGACACCATATATTCAGTAAAGTAAAGTAAAGTAAAGTTGTTCTCGCACCCGATCCCGACATTGGGGGCTGCCTTGCTAAACTTGCTTATTTGTGTGACAACTTCCTGGGCCTTCGGCATATTGCGGTAGGGTGGCCAGTTCCTTTCCACGCCGCCTTTACTCCCCAACTCGAAGTCACGTACCCATTACGGCTGGGTCATCAGGAGGGGGCGAAAAAAACCCGTGTCCGAACCAGGGTCGAACCCGGACTTTCCGCTTCGGAGACGAGTGCACTAACTGCTCCTCACTACTGTGTAAGAAAAAGACGACTCTTACTCTTATTAAGAGTACATGTAAAGGAAGACGCCACCTGTTGGAGGCGGTGACGCAGGCTCGTGCATGAGAAACGCTTGTCGTTGACGGGGTCGTGGCACAGCAGACAAATTACCGGTACTAACTCCATCGCCACCTAATTCCGTCGGCCGCACGCACACACACACACACACACACACACACACACACACACACACACACTCACATTCACACTCACAGAAACACTAACTCAGACGCACACACGCACACGCATACTCATAATATAATGACATCATTCGGGGAGGACAGTGGAGGACTGGACATTGGTTTTGGACTGCCTTATTACACTCGCGCTGGTATCAGGAAGCATCGCCACGGTAGGCCTTTGGGGGTGACTATGGCGAGAATTCATAATTTCTCAGGACTTGCAGACAGAAACGGTCAGGAAAATGATTATTCTGACTCAGCAGCCCCCTAATCTGCAGGCTGTTGGCCACACACACACAAACAAACACACACACAAACACACACACACACAAACACACACACGCACGCAGACACGCGCACACACACGCACACACACACACACACACACACACACACAATAATAATACAGTATAAGTTAGTATAACACGGATAGGTCGAGCACTTAGGAGACTCAAAATAAAAACCTCACATCCTTCGAACTGTGCCTGCTGTCCCGTTTGTTCCTTCTTTATCTTTATAAAAAAATATACCACTCGAACTACGGATCCCTCGAACTATAATATCGAAGTCGATCCCGACGAATTTGAGCTATCTGTGTTACACGGCAATAACACAGGCCATCAACAACATTACTCCAGCCAAGCTTGTCCTGAGCATCCTTTTCTATCTGTTTCCATGATGTCCCCGCTTTTTCAATTTTCGCTTGTACCGCTCGCCTCCGTGTCATCTCTGGTCTTCTCTTCTTACGTTTTCCTTGTGGGTTCCACGTTTAAGTTAAAGCATGCCTGATGATGCTCGTCGGGGGTCTCCTCAGGGTGTGTCCAATCCATTTTCACTTCTTCACCTGTATGTCTTCCTTTACTGGCCTTTGGCTTGTTCTTTCCCACAGTTGAGCTTTGGTGACTCGATCGTAGCACTTTATCCCCACTATCCTTCGTAGGCATCCATACGAAGCTCTGAAGTTTCCTTGCTGCTGATGCTGTGAACCTCCATGTCTCTGAACCATATAGTAGAACAGTCTTCATGTTTGTTTTGGATATCCTCAGCTTGATGTTCAATCCCAGTTCCTTAGACATCCATATCTGAGAATGATGAATGCTGCTCTTGCCTTTTGGATTCTGACCTTGCTGTCTTCGTCTGTTCCCACCCTTGCCTTGTTGATGACACTGCCCAGGTAGGTGAAGGATTCAACATCCGCCAATATTGCCCCTTGCAGTGTGATAGGAACGTCGGCTGCATTCATTCGTAGAACTTTCGTTTTATCCGTGTGAATATGGAGTCCAACACTACGGGAGAAGGTCCTGAGGCGATCTGTTTTCTGTTGCATCTGGGCTCGACTGTGAGAAAGAAGTGCCAAGTCGTCGGCAAAGTTCAAGTCTTCTAACTGATATGAAAGGGTCCACTGTATGCCACCGCGTTGTCCCGATGTTGTCTGTCTCATTATCCACCGCTAATAAAAAGAGAAAAAGCGATAGCTGGCATCCCTGTCTCACTCTGTATTCACGTCAAACGAGTCTGTCTGCTGCCCCCCCCCCCCCCAAGTAAGACACTGCAACTCATTCCCTCATACATCTTCTTGATCAATCTCACGAACGTGTCAGGTATTCCGTAGTGGCTCATGAGCTTCCATTATATTGAGACCCTATCTAGGCTGTCAAAAGCTTTCCCGTAGTCAACAAAGTTAACGTACAGGGAGGAGTCCCACTCTGTGGACTGCTCCACTATTATCCTCAAAGTTGCAATCTGATCTGTACATCAACTCTTTTAACGAAATCTTGCCTGCTCTTATAATTTTGCATCCACGGCTTCCTTCAGTCTTTCCAGTATGGTGCGACAATCTTCCCAGGAATGGACAGGAGCATGCTACCTTTCTTATGCAGTTTCACGAGCAATCCCTCTCTCCAATCCTTTGGAAATTTGTCGCTGTCCCATATCTCGCCAATAATTCCACGAAGAATCCTGCCGCAGGGTCGATATCCGCCTTGAGAACTTCTGGGAGAATTCCATCTGGCCCGGCTGTCTTGCCTGCTTTCTGGTGTCTTATCGCCACCTTGATCTCCTCTATATACTACTAGGCTTTTTTTCACTCACCTCCAGATCAATCTCTGCTGGTGGAATGTCAAACTGTTTTTCTGGCCTTGGTCTGTTCAGTAGCTATTTGAAATGCTCCTTCCAGCGTTCTTTCTGTTCGTCTGGATCTGATTCTGAGAGAAGTTTTCCCTCTACCTTCACTGGCACATCCGCGTTCTTGTATCTGCCTGCAAGTTTGTTGGTGGTTTCATACAGTCCTCTTATGTTTCCTGCCCCTGCTGCTTCCTCTGCCTCGCACGCTAGGTCATCTACATACAAACGTACTTTCTTTTGTCTTTCCGTACGCTGACTTTTACACCCTTCATTGCTTTGGTGTATTCTTCTTGGGCCTTTGCTTTGGCTGCTCTGTCTTGCTCCTGTTTACCTGATCCTTTTTCTTTTCCCTGTCTTCTATCTTCCTCAGAGTGGAGGCAGATATCCAAGGCTTGCACTCACTTTTCCGTTTCCCCAGTACCTCCTGACACACAGTGGTCCAGCCTTCTTTTACTTTTATTGTATTATTATAACCCCCCCCCCCCAAAAAAAAAGCGTGAAATTCTTTTCGTTATCTATGGCAAAACTTCTACCGGAAGTTTCATATTTTAAATTTCGCGGAACAGAAAGTCGACTCGAAAATATGGCTGCGAAAACAGCGGCCGCCGTTGAGAAAAAAGAACCTACAGATTCTGCAGACACCAGTGTGCAGTCTGATAAGCAAACACTACTTGCTGTTTTACAGTTCTTAAAGAAACATAATCTCAAAGTTAGTGAAACTGGATTTGTATTGCTGTTGTAGAAAATGAGTTGGTTTGTAGTACTGTTGTAGACCAAGACTCGGACTCTCAAGACTCAAGTTCAAGTCACAACTTAGTCCTAAGTTCAAGATTCAAGATCTCGGCGATTTTGTAGTTTCGTTCGTTAAAGTCAAGAGTAGCTGGGTTCCTGACCTAAAAAAAATATGAAAGGGGGGGGGGGATTGGGGGGGGGGTTCAGCAGGGCATGCCCCCCTGAATTTTACCATAAAGGAAGAGGCTAGCCGTACTTTAATATATACTTTTTTTATATCATCGTGACCAATCAGTGAACCTGTTCGTTTGCATCACATAATGAGTACCGGTTGGGGTCACCAAAGTTCATTCAAAGTCTTGCGCTGCGAAGTATAGGTCTCCGGAATGGGTGGATTATTGATTTTTTTAATGCCGGCACTATTTCTCCGAACGTTCGGGAAAATAAAGCTAGGCACTATTTCTCCGAACGTTCGGGAAAATAAAGATGGGCACTATTTCTCCGAACACTCTGAAATCACATCCTTTCCCGCAATTTCGGATATTATATAGATTCTAGATCTATAATTATAGTAAAGGCCTACAAAAGATTGTTCGTATACAATATGGTTCACTCGGTCCAAAAAATGTCCGCAGTAAATATTTATATAAAGAAATGCTACAGTTCCAAACAGTTTTCGCTACAGATATGATGTGTTGCCTATGAAGGGTGCTGCTCTTAAACTTAATGTGTTGTGTTCACTCGTGTGCTGTCTAGATCTAGATCTACGGATGGTTATTGACAACGACACGTAGAACTAGTATCGCGTTTGTCGCGGCCGCGACCAATCAATCGTGGCTTGGATTTTTTGGCATTTTTTGGTCCCCGTTCACCACTTTGATTTGCTGAATACGTTACATGCAGCTACTTTTATTTTTCCCTCTTTGTGGTGTTTTATTTTGTTATAGTGTGTATTTTTTTCTTTCTTGTTATTGTTCTGATGTGTTGTTGGGGAAAAAAAGGGGGGGGGGAGGATTTTGTATAGTGTAACGTCATTTAATTTGATGTTCCTACCTTCATTAGATTCTAAATATAATATACATGTGTATATATACAGATTTAAATGTGTTATGTTAGAGCGTACGTTCCACCGAAACCGATTACATTTACTGACACTGGCAGGCCCCTTAATGTGTGTGATTCCGTAATTTACATGTTATGTCCTGTACTTTACTTTGTTTTAAGATTGTGCACATTTAGGGTTAAAACAGCCAATCTTCTTCAGACAGGTGGACACACGCTCTTATTTGTTAATTTTTGTGGTTGTCTATGGGCTGTTCTAATTTTGACTTCATTCGGTTGTGAAACCTTTATTTTCACGTTTTTACACTCATCTAAAAATCTCTAGACTAGAAGATCTAGAAATTTAGATCTAGCTCTTGAAAATTGAAATAGATATAGACCTAAAAATTTGCTCCTGTGTGTGTGTGTGTGTGTGCGTGTGTGTATGTATGTGTGTATGCATGTGCGTGTGTGAGTGTGTCTGTGTGTGGTAGTAAGTGGAGAGAGAGGACAGTGTGTGTGTGTGTGTTTGTTTTTCGGGCTTTATTTCAGCCTTTATTCAGTAACAGTTCAAAGTATACAAAAATAGAAACACAGGATCCATTCACTCCAGGGCTCATGAGTCGTTCCTCTCTTTCAGTTTCACTCATTCATTCAATTCCCGTGTTCTCTCCCGCGGCTCATCCCCGTCCGCATGACTTTCACACCCCACCCCCTCCCTCCAGGCACACACAAAGAAAATCTCACTCATTCCCTTGCACCCTGCGAACCATGGACAATAATATTAGCAAAACACTGCATTAGCCGCATTCCTTTCGTTCGTGAGTTGTGGACCAGGCCAGGGGGGTCGGTGTCGTCGCCTTGTAGTTGCTGTCGCCTGTGGATACACTCGTACATTCTTCCTTTCACCTGCTCTGTCACTCACACTGTCTCTCCATCCACAGCTCAGCTCGTCAAACGTTCAAAAGTTGCCCACTGATCATGTTTAGTTAGTGTGTATATAAGTTTGTGTGTGTACATGTGCATGATGGTGGTGGGTGTGTGGTGGGTGTTACAGGTTGTCTGTAAGCGGGCTTGCCATGCGGTGTTCCTTCCCAGACCAGAGGCAGTCGAATGAAAGTTGGCGCCGAACTTTCGCAATAAATATAGGCAAAAAACCACGAGACTGGAAGCCGGAAACTGTTCGGAGAAATAAAGATCGGCACTATTTCTCCGAACGTTCGGAGAAATAGCCACTTCGTTTTTTTAAAGGGAAGACCCGGGTCGGCGATCACCATATGTCAATAAAATTGTTCGAACTATACAACTTTTTTTTTTTGCGGAAAGACATCCTTTGACATCTGTTCTATTAGGTCACAGTGACAAAACTGTTGAAAAAACACCCTAAATGATCTAAAAGGGCGTTTGAAAAGTGCAAATTACACGAAAAATCCTTGAAAAAATCTGTTTCCCCCCAAACCCCCCCCACTTTTTGACATATATATAATATGTGACCTCCTTGGTGCAAGGAGTTTTCAAAAACTGTTTCAAATTTGGCATACATGTGCTTTAAGATCTATTCTGAGGATCTATGTGAGGGAATTAGGAAATATTGGTAACTTCTGGAAATATTCAAATTTGTTGTAATATGTTTCGTCAACTGACTCTCGGGGGTCCATTGACTTTGGACTTACTTTTTTAGTTTTGAAGATAGGTGAAAATCCTCACATGGATCCCTAATCCATATCTGTTCGTACTTGTGTGCCAAATTCAGGCTGACAATTCAACATTTACAGTAGTCTCTGCCTAAGATCCCAACGCTTACGATCCCGGTTCGCTTAAGATCCCGCTGTTTTAAGAAAACAGAATTTTTTCTATACAAAAGTCACCCCTAAGATCCCGCTCTGATTCACTCTGAAGGTCTACATTGGGCTAAGATCCCGCATTTCAGATCATAATTTGCGGAATAAAAACCCGGGCGGGACAGCCGATCAACCAAGAGTGAAAAGTTGAGGTCAATAAACTGTCCGTCGCGTCAAAGATCAGCCACTATCATGAATGTGATCACATACACTTTGTAAAACTCGATGAAGCGATACAATGTTTGCCCCCAGACCGGATCACACCGGAGTGTGAACTGACGGACACGTTTGTTTTCCCCACGCATCGCACTCACACCTGAGCTTTCCCCCTAAACTTACATCACTCGCTGGGTGGGCAGGGCCTACAAGTTCGCTCCAGGCGGGATCACATTGAACTGTGAACTTTTCCCTGACCATTGCAGAAGTTGTCTCTACTCCGGAATTTGCGAGACAGACTGAATTTTAATTGATGTGTTCACAACGTATTGGTGTGTAACGACAAAAGCGGTTGGGGGGGAGGGGGGGGAAACTCGGTCAGAGATGGAAAGCTATAAATTTTCGACAGGTAAGGGGGAGGGGCAACTGGATATGCGTAGATCTTGAGACTCATGATAGGATAAAAAGTGAAAATGGCACGCCTCATCCCACCATGCACTGTGATAGTTCACCAAGGTTAACCACTCTGCCCGCCATACGTCATAAACCCACCAAGCGGTCATGTCAGTTCATTTTAGAGTGGAGGGAGACCATTGTACCTATTGTGAGCCTTAGCATGGGTCACCATAGATTCTTCCCTGGGTTCGTCGGTTAAGGTCCCGGTTCGCCTAAGATCCCGCATTTCCTTGTTCTAGATCACCGGGATCTTAGGCGGAGACTACTGTACTATGAAATTCTTCTGCACTAAGAAGCATGGTTTGAAAATCCAAGATGGCCGCCACAGAGGCCCATTTTTTCAGAAAAAATCAACAAATCCACCCTTAGTACATGATCCTATTTACCTATGAACTTCTTGCACACTTACATGAAAGTGAATAAAAGTCTTTCGTTTAGAAAATGTTTCCTGGAGTGTACGTCTCCCCTTAAAGGTACAATCGGGGAAGGGGTGGGGTTCGGTTGAAGGCAACACCGGATGACAAAAACTGAACTTGGAGTTCTGAGTTGCCCGGTTACCGTGTACGTGACACTGAGACTACGTGCCCGGTTGCTGGTTACCGTGTACGTAGACACCGAGGCTAGGTGCCCGGTTACCGTGTATGTAGACACTCCGTTAATCCCCCCCCCCCCCCCCCTCGTCTTCACGGTTTTCATACTTTGAAAGTTGTGGACTGTACCGTACGCTACTGGCACCACACCAGGCAGCAAGCAGGCATACGCTATGCAGTTGCTGCAAGCAGCAAGGGCCTAACAGGTAAAGGCTAAAGTGTAAATTTCAGCCAGGCTAAGCTATTTTAAAGTAAGTCTGTCTGGACTGAAGTACAAGTTCCATCTAGATTCTAGTGCTGAGCTTAGACTTGGAGGTCTTTTCATAAAAGCCTGGTCTCGTAAATTTTTACTAAATTTTTTATTATTACTCCTATTTCCAACTCCCACACTGCCTGAGGAACTTTTTGTGCTACTTTTACATTTTGCACTTTTAGTTAAAGTAAAGGCCTCGGCCATTCGGACTCGAGTCTGAATATAGCCTCCCATGGCTATTCGGACTCAAAACTCCAATGCGCGTGGGGCAATCAATGGGTGTATAGGCTGTGGAGCGGACAGGCTATTCGACCTTGGCCTTCCTCGGTTTTTACAATCTGGCCAAAATTTTCGACACAAATTAACAAAAGTATTAGTGACGTCAAAAGTAAACAACAGTTGCAAAATCTGAAATAGATCTACTACACAACAAAGGGCAACAGGGAAACGGTAATCTGAGCTCAAAGCAGTGAAAAAAATTTGAAAATCAAAGTTTCAGAACTACAAAGGATGATCACTCTATCAATAGGTAGTCTAAACCCGCTTTATTTGATGAGAAAGAAAAAAAATCATTGATCAATTGGAAGTCCAGTCAGAAATTAAGAAAAGAAAAAAGTTAAAACCCTTCCAAAGGCAACAAAAGTCAGTCATTCAAAGAAACAGTGGTCTAAAGGAAAAGCTTTTCCAACAGCATACCTTAAATGATGTTCTAATGAAATCAGGAGACAGTACAACTGATAGTGTTATTCGGGGTGCCCATTGGGGATACCGGAAATAATTTTTGGATGTCTTGGATTGGGTTGGATAGGGGGTGATCGCCCCACTCGTCCCTGAAAACAAACGCATGTGTTTTTGAGTCGGCCAGCTGGACGCGATTGGCTTATTCCACCATAGCCGCTTTGCTCCCCCAACCTGGCTAGCAAACCGCCCCGACCAGACCCGATCCCTCAATGGGCACCCTGTATTACATCCATGCTTTTCAATTTGAGTCTGAATAGCCATGGGAGGTTATTCAGACTCGAGTCCGAATTACCACTTCATAAAGTAAAAGTTTAGGCAAGGGCCAAACTCAAAATATATTACTTTTGGGTGCCAAGCCGAACACAAGTGTATATATATATCTATATATATCTATATATCTCTCTCTCTCTCTCTCTATATATATATGGCCACCAAAACCATCACAAACAAATGCTTTTCAAGAAAATCTCAAATCTAAGCCTATTGCAAAGCATCAAATTATGGGAAAACACATACACAGGGTGAAATGCAAAATCCAGATTATGTTTGGGACCTGGGCTTAAAAGATATTCTGAGCATGTTCTGGACCAGGGGGGGGGGGGAGGGGGGTGGGATCCCAAAGACAGACTCAATGTAACGATAATAATGCACCATAAAATGTCGGGAGCAGATAGCCGAAGACCACCCCTGACTGTAATTTCATAGACGACATCTGAATCATAGATCTCTACATTCAGAGAAACTTTTCTCTTGTGATTTGTTGAACAAGTACGTGTATGTTATATAAGTACAATTATAAGTTCTTCGAAATCCTATAGAGGCCTATCTAGTGTTTTATACAGCATTCACACGCTTCATAGGTCTAGGTCTAACTAAACATTACATGCATGCAGTCACCCAAACACCAGTCAGAAACCTCTCAAAGATGCATTTCCAGTGATCAGTCAAAACACATTTCAGCCCCAACTTTCACCAACCAGTCCTAGACCTCATGTGTCTGTGGAAAGTTGGGTATGAAAATACTGTCCATCATTCTCTTTGTTTGGCGTGAGGGGCAGTCTCACCTAATATCCAGTTTTCTAGGCTTGTCTTATGCAAGCTGTGCAGGTTGTAGTGAAAATTTACCCTTGTCAAGCTTTACCTGTTGGCGTGTTTCGTGGATCGGAGCGTGCGTTTAGAGGGAGTGACCGTGTGTTTGTACGTCTAAATTATATAGTAAAAAAAACCTGTCAGGTGACGAGAAGGCATTCGTTTGAGAGGAGCGGGCTTTTGTATGGCGTGCGTTTAGGCAGAGACTACTGTAGTGAAGTTTTCTTTAGTCTGTACTCAGTCATCTGTTCTGTAGGTGGGTGACTTAGGACACAATAGTATATTAAGTAATATGAGTTTCAGTAAAAAAAACAACCCAGTCAGAATCAAGGAATAATTATATGCCAAGCATGATGGGTTTCGAATACGGCAAGCCATTGCCCTCGGGTGAGAATAAGTGTCACATTGAGTGAGAGAAAATAGGTGACATTTTTATTGTTTTTAGAGATGGGGTAGGTGTTTACAAATGGATTTTTAGGTATTATTAAGACGATTTCAGCATTCTGTCATACATTGTTGGATAGAAAAATGATTGAATTTTCATATGAGATCAAAATCTCAAAATTGATGTTTTGGTCCAAAATGGACTGTTTTCAACTCTACGATGCCTCTTAATCTGTAAAAGAGACCGAGGCTTACAGTTACTGAAAGTCACCCTCTGCTCAGCATAGCCATAGTGTGAACAGACTTTATTTTTACTTTGCTGATGTCTACATTGGCTTTCAATAAGAAGACCTTGAGTAGCACAAGCTAGTTTCAAGGGAGTAAATAAAAACACTCTTTTTAAAGCTCAAACAACCAATGATATTGTTGTGCTTGATAGGCATGCCTAAGATACTAAGAAGGATTTTGTGCACTCTTGACCTAATCCTTGGTCTAGATGCTCATCATAATTGGTGGAGGACTCAAACAGATCCTAATTTCACAGCAGGAAAGGTCAGATTCTTCACAATCGCCCACACTTTCCTTAAAAAGTGGGAATACTTTTAATTTTCTTATACTTTTAATGTTTTCCAAGGATACTGAAGATTTGCTCAAACAAGAAGCAAAAGTCTCAGATGATGATCTCAAGACAGAGGAAGACAAAAAGTCGGAAGTTTCTCAGGCTCTTGCTGTGTACAAGAGGTAACTAACCAGCTTCTTTTTTTCTCTTGGTCTGAAAAGCGCTTTGATGCTAGACAGATGCTTTTGAAGTATCTCAGAAGTGCCACCTGACATCTAGTGTGTGCAGTTATATGCAAATGAAATCTTTGTTGTTTTTGGATGTCTCATTGTAGGAAGGAATCTTTTATATTTTCACGTAATCTTTGTAAAATAGAAAAAGTTTAGGTAGTCATCAATACTCTTTGTTGTAAGGAATGTGTGTGTTCTTCAGTGCTTTTTTAAAAGTAGGAATATGTCTCAGTAATTTCAAGTACTCTTTGAAGGAAGAATCTTTTTCTTGCCTTTTAACTCCCTAAAGAGCATTGTGTGTGTTTTAGAAAAAATGTTTCACTCTTGACTTGTCTTTGAAAAGAGAGTACATCTTTCTCTTGATATGTGTCCACATTCATTTTGCCCAGTTTCTTGGCAACTACCTCCACCTTTCTCCATCATTTTCAATTGTCTTTGTTGTTTCTTATTTGCAGCGATGATGATCCTAGTTTGTACGAAGACTTGTACCGGAACTTGAAGAACTTTATCGACTCGTGTCTAGATGTTCACAAGGTAACCTTTATGGGCTAAAGATCTTATTTTGAGATGAAATCTCTGATCAGTGTTTCTATTTAGTTCTGTAAAAGTTTTACGTTGCCCGCAACTGTTTATGGTCAAATGAGTGTGAGTGTTTCTGTACAAATAAACTTGAATTTATATTCCCTGAAAAAGATGGGATTTGTTGGTTCCCGAAACACATTTTATTTGAGCATATGTGAATTATATTTATATGAAAATCTGTCAGAGTTAAATTTGTTCGATTTTCTTTATTTAAGATATTCAAGACCATGTGTAGGGTAGGTGTATGTTTTTCTTGTCATGAATTTTTAACAATTGTCAGAAAAACAGGACAACAAAAAATACTTGGCTGGTGTGCGGTTTAGAAAAATGTTTAACTCTGACTTGTCTCAGAAAGCATGGGAGTGTATCTCTTAGACCCAAAAAACCCTTCAAGAAAAAGTTAACCTTGGAATGTTCAATTTGAAAGTAGGACCAACCTTGGGGCAAATGATTAAACCCCAATGTTTGAAATTTGAAGGCCAGCACTACAGATTGATAGGAATTTACCTTCCAATTGTATGTTGTTTCCAAAGTGGCATAAAGTGTTATTGATCAATTATCTTTTTTTTGTCTTGAAAAGGAAAAAAGTACTTTACATTTATGATAACTTGTAATGATTTCACAGTTCAGTAGTTCATTTGGTGGTTGGAGGGTGTCTCAGGTGCTGCTTTAAAAAAAAACATCCCTTAGTTGCTTCTGTTTGTTTGTTTTGCGGCTCTCTTTGACTGTTATTCAGGATGGGCTTGTCTTTGACTCAGATGTATCAAGTTGAAAGATCTTTGCTCGCTACTGTTGCCCAATGGGTTGTGAGCTTATCTGTCATTTGGAAGTTTGAGTGTTGAGTGAATGTGAGGTCCCAACTTATTTTGTCTATCCTTCCTGGAATGTTTCCTCATAGCCTATTATTCTGAGGTCTTAGCCTAGTATTCTGATGTGGCACCTAGTGCTCCTCCTTTGAAATTACATGTCTTGTCTAGTGAGGCGTGTTAGCTTTAACAACAGTAATGACAATCCCACCAACATCCTCTCCTCTACCATTTATCCTCAGGTGGAGCTGTCCACTATTTTGTATCCTGTGTTTGTCCATATGTACTTGGAGCTGGTCTACAATGGACATGAGTGGAATGGTCAGTCTCTTTGTTAGAGGAATGTGTGGGTGTGTGTGTATGTTTGTGTGCTTGTGTGCGCATGTGTGTGTTGCTTCATTTTCGTAAACCTATCTATACCCACAGACAGTGAATTTTAGAATGTAAGGTCCTTTGTTCGATGTCATAGTTAAATGTGTATCAATTAAGATTTCTAGCGCTGGTAGTCAGCTGAATTATTGAATTATTATACTCAGTGGAAGGCTCAGTCATTGTCAAATATTCTTACCTAACACTGATTAGCTTTTTATTTTAGAAAAGGCTTCACTTTGGTACACTAATATTTTCCAGTTGTTGGGTCTTTCCTTTTGCCACTGTGAGAAGCAGATAAGATGACTGAAAAGAGAGCATGATGATACAGTCTGTCTCCTTCCTATGGACGTGACTGTATATTGCTCCTAAAATATCTTGTAAGATATGCTTTGAAGACTCAGAAGTTGCAAAAGTTTTATTGAGGAAAAATTAAATGTGACATTACACTGCCTAAATGGAAAAGGATATTGTGATTTAAGTTTTCTTTCATGGTTGAATAAAGTTCTTATGTTTTGTTTATTTTTCCTTTTGGTCAGAACATATTTTTTCTCCTTTTCATGCTGTGCTTCACCTCAAAGTGGATGAATTTTTTGTTAGCTATAAATTTGAACTTGGAATCATTTCTTCCATTCATCTTTTGCTCCTTAGCATGGGAATTTTACAGCAAGTTCTGGCAGGACCAGGAAGAGCATCGGCATCCTGACCTGGCTATTCTCTCCAGCGTCCGCAAGCGAGATCACATGGATAAAAACCCCATGTTGAGCAGCTTTAGGTAAGAATGTTTGCATTTTCACCATGCATTTCTCACATTCTTGTTTCACGGGACCTTTCTCGTTGTGTGGGTTTGTTGTTGGTTTCATTGTTTCTGTTTGTGGGTGGTTGGCGGGTGCTCTGGTGTGGTTTGCTCCTTCTTTTCTATCAAACATCTATCGTCCTTATCTCCCCTTCTTCTTTTTTATGTTTGTTACTCTCTTGTAACACCTCTGATCTTCTGGCGCTCATATGACCTTATGCAGTTGCGAGCGCCGTAAAACCTCTACTAAGACTAAAAAAATTGTTTCTGTTTCCTAACGTCTTTAGGTGAACAGCTCTTCTTTTTTTTGTCTATTTTTGTGGTATTTTCTTCCTGCTTTGTGGTTTCAAAATTGTAGCCTAGTCTTTAGTTGATTGCCATTTTGATGGTTGTTTGTGGGTGGTTGAGAGGTATGTTCAGTCTGCTACCTTTTCACTGTTGCAACAGTCATGAGCTGCTTTCTAGTGAAAGGATGGTGGTGTATTGGGCTGACTCTGTAAGCCTGTAGCTGAAAAAGTAAGTAAAAAATAAGATTTTGTTTAACAGTATCTTTTCATAAAATTTCTGTCAAATGTATTCGGATGATATCTGTTGAGGATAATATGAGTATTTCAGCTTCTTTAAAAATATGATCCATGTGACAGTGTGCTTCCTTTACGCAGTGGGTTCTAAAAACATTTTTGTAGAGGGTTCAATCGATTTGGTCAACCTTGGTTGATAATCATTACTAATATAGGTATTTTTTTTTCATGTTTTGCATGTGTACACAGGTCAAGTGCTTTCATTCTACGTATGTCTCGCGACTCCTACACCCACCTTAAGCGACACTTGCAAGAGAAGAGATTATCTCCTCTGCTTACCATTATTCAGGATCATCTTTTCATTGACGGTTTGTTGATTTTCTGCTTTGCTTACTTAATATTAGTTTGAGTCTCAGAAGGAATTTCACTGAAAAGAATAGTTATGTTCATTCCAAATTTGATTACTAAGTTAGCATATTTTATTTTTCTCCCTCAACATGTTTTGTATTATGAATTGTAGAAAAAAAAATTGGGATATCTGTTTTATCTAGGGGGTACCATAGTTAATTTGAATTTCAGGTAAGAGAATTTGCTAAACTGTTGGTGCTTAACTTTCTGTAATTCCTCAGGGTAATGCAGCATGTAAGGTTATGTGCAGCTGGGCAGGGTAAATTGGGATATAATGTGCATTTATCTTGTGTATTTTATTGTACCATTTTTCCTCTTTTTATATTTAAGCAAGTTGATGGTTTGGAAAGATTAAATTCTGTGCTGGATAAAGCATTCACCAAATTTATTAACTGGTGAATTTGTGGATCAACTCAATAATACAATACTTTTTTTGATAGACAAAAGTTTGAATATGGTTTGTGTCTGAGAAAAGTGTTGAGAGATTTCTCACATTGTATGCAAGCCTTGATGTGGCCGCCATACATATAAAAAAAAAAGAACAGAAAAAGCACCTTAGAGGGATAATAATAGTAGCTGCAACAATGAGAATAACAATGATAATAATAGTTTTAAAAAACCCCCACCATCATCACACCCATTCTCAAGACAGGAAAACCTGCTGAAGAAATGAAAAGCTGTTGACCCATTTCACTCACGTCATGCATCGGGAAACTAGCAGAGAGGATGGTCAACCACTGCCTATACTGGTGGTTGGAAACAACTGGTGCCTTAGACAGCAACCAAGCAGGATTTCGTGCAGGCTGGCAGACAGGTGACCAGCTCTTCAGGCTCAGTCAGAAAGTCCTTGATGGCTTCCAGGAAAAGAAGCACACAGTTGCAGTATTCGTTGATCTCCAGCAAGCCTATGACAGGGTATGGAGAAAAGGCCTCCTGTGGAAGATGACACAAACAGGAATCGGCAGGAAACTCTACAGATGAGTGAAGACCTTCCTTACAGACTGGACTATACAGACCAAGGTGAACAATGGTGTGTCATCCAAAGCTGTACTGGAGGGCGTACCCCAGGGTTCCTTTCTGAGCTGCACACTCTTCCTTGTTTTCATCAAAGACCTGCCTGAGATACTGAAATCAGAGAAGGCCCTATATGCCAACGATCTAGCCACCTGGAATTCAAGTGAACAAGCTGGGATCAGTGCATGACTTATAAATGAGAACCTAGATAGATTCAACAACTACTGCTGCAAGTGGAAACTAAAAGCGAATTGTACCAAGACAATCTACACCGTCTTTACAAAAAGTCGCAAAGTCGCAAAGCAAAATCTCACTATCTCACTTCTTGCTGGAAACAAACTAGAAAAAGTTGAAAACTCGACCTACCTTGGGTCAAGCTGGACAGGCAGTTTTCATGCAAAAACCATATCTGGAACCTGAAGACAAAGGCCAACAAAAGACTTAACCTTCTCAGACGACTGGCTAACACTTCATCGGGAGCGGACAAGGATGCACTCAGACAGCTATATGTTGGTTATGTACCCTCTGCCATGGAATATAACTTAACCTTATAGACAATCTGCAGCAAACCAACTCAGAGGTCTCTTGACAAAATCCAGAACCAAGCTGTACGATTTATCTCTGGAGTTTTGAGATCCACTCCAACTGCAGCTTGCGAAATCCTTACAAACCTGGAACCCTTGGACTTGCGGAGAGAGGCAGCAGTTGTGGAGATGAGTGAGTGCTACAAAAGACGAGAGAGAAACCACCCAAACTGAAAAATAATTGAACAGAGACGACGAAAGAAACGAATTCATGGAAGATCAATATTCGACACAGCCACTGAAACAGTAGGAAAACTCCATCTTCAATGTAACAGAGAAATGCTGATACCCTTAAGACCAGAACTCCCCCCAAACACCAACATCAAGAACGCTAACATCAAAACTTCCCTCAAAAAGGAGACAGTGAAAAAGGAATTGGACCCAGTAGAACTGAAGACCACAGCTCTCGAGACAATTGACTCCTACCCTAGTGATTCAATTTATATTTTCACAGATGGGATCTCTGTCCACGAACACACACACTGACACGCGCACTCTGACACACACATGCACACTCTCTCTCTCTCTCTCTCTCTCTCTCTCTCCCTCTCCCTCTCTCCCACTCTCCCCCCCCCTCTCTCTCTTCTTTCCTTCTCATTTTTCAACGTCTGTTCATTTCCCCAGTGTTTGATGGTGTCCCCCGCACACAGCAGCAGATCCAAGCCACAGGTGGCGCTCTTCTGGGAGAGGTGGACAAAGATGGTGGGTGAAGCTTGGATGGGCTCATGAGTGGTCATTTGTTTGGGAAATGTGTCAAGGTCTTTTTAAAAAAAATCATTTTTTTGTGTGTGTTTTACGACGCTTGCAACTGCTTAAGGTCATATGAGCGCCAGGGACACATTAAACAGAACATTTTTAGAGAGCAGGAAAGGATGTGAAAGGAGAAAATTTTCTGTTGCTATCCGGATTCGAACCCGAGACCTATTGAATGAGAGCGGAACACCCTTCTAGACCAGGAGAACCCCCTCTCTAGGTCTGTTAGCTTATATGAGTTTATTTTGTATAGTTAAATGTGATCTAGATGCCGTCAGTGATAGGCACACTGACAGTTAGCTGCCACCTTGACAATGACAGGTAGAGCACTTCGGACACTTGACAGAGGAATCTTTCTGAGACAAGGTAAAACTCATTTACAGAGGACTTTTCTTAAAATGAATCTTATGAAATGATTTCTGGACTTAGTTTTTTTTTCTCCCCATCCTGTTACCACTCTGAAATGGTAGTTTCAAAGTGGCAATATGATTGTATAAGTCAAATTAGTGTTTTATTTTTTTATTGTCTTGACGTCTCAAACAAAATCCAATGTATTGCTTCCTAGTTTTTTTCTTTACGTCGTATTGGTCATCCAGTTCACAATGATTATCACAGGCATAACACAGTTGTCTAAGTCATTTTTGTAATATAGTTTTGAGAAAACTTTAGAAGCCAGTGCTTTCTTAAGTCAATCTTATTACCATCTAAGCAAAAGGAACAATGTCTCAGTAACTGGATTTTCAGTGCCTGAAACATAACCATGCTATATCGAGGATGTGGAACAAGTAACATGTATTTTTACTATAATAGTATATATCTAAAAACGTAAAAATGATGACTTTTGCTGTGATTGTGTTCCGACTGTGACAATGTTGTCTCTATTTCCATGACGTCTGTGTGGTTGATGTACAGCAAACAAGGCCAAGGTGTACTACGGTCTGCTGAAGGAGCCGGAGCTGAACATTCCTCTGGAGGAGGAGGAGGAGGGCCAGGAGGGAGAGGAAAAACCTAAGGTATGTGTGCAAATGTTGCCAAGGACATTATTTTTGCGAGGATGTGGTTTTCTGTACACTTTGCACAGACTTTTCGTGTTAACTATTTTCATGAATCATTTTGTAATGTATAAGTGTGTAAATGTCAAAAGGTTTGAATTTTATGTTCGACATGGCTTTTTCGAATTAGGATAATAAATTTTCTTTCGGAGCCTATTTTATAGATGGCTATAATATAGCCATGCAAGTTTTGGAATACTTTTTCACCATAGATATTCAGCTTTTTTTGGGGCATGTGTTGCTTGTCCATTTTGTTAGTCAAGATTGATCTTCTGGTAGGAAAGATCTACACCTAGCCTTCTCGGACAAGGGCGAAAGATCTCGGAGGTCCCGTGTGCAAGTTGCGCACGTTAAAGATCCCTTGGTGGTTAAAATCGATAAGAGTAGGCTTCGGCCGCCACCCGGGCAAAATTCAAAATTTCCTACCGACTGAAATTATTAGGTGTGCCCCGCGCACTCATATGACCTTATGCAGTTGCGAGCGCTGTAAAAACACTTACCAAAACAAAATAGTCAAGATTGCAACGTGCTGTGTTCAAGTCAGGCATGAAGCATGACGGAAGCCATCAGTAATGTGACTTTGAGGTAGAACCATTAACGAAAGGGGGAACAGTCATGGAACTGTACGAAGCATAGATCCCTCTTCTATTGACAAAGACACTTGGCAATCAGTAGATGTCACATTTGCAAATGATAGTTGTTAGTGCAAAATGTAGATTTTAAATTTCAAAGGACTAGCCAATCATGAGAGTTATTGTGAAGTTGCGTGAGCCTTTCATCATCAGAGTGGAGACATGGTTAGAAATCATCACTATTACCTTTTACAATCCAGACTACTGTTTTCTTTACAGAAAAAGAAATCGAAAAAGGATCCACTGTTGATGAAGAAGTCCAAAAATGATCCAAATGCTCCACAACCCACACGCATCCCGTTGCCAGAATTGTGAGTAGCCCTGGTTTGCTGGAGGAAAACAACTGTAGGCACTTTTGATGTGGTCTACTCCTGTTACTTTTTCCTTGTGTTAACATTTTCTTCATCTGGGTCTGGCGGAAAGTGGTTGTTATTATTCTGGCTTTTCATAAACTTCTACTCAATAACATTTCTTAGCATAATTTTGATTTTTTTTGTCCAGTTGCTGTACAGAAAATATTGAATGTTATATTTTTTAAGATGCAGTATTTTTTTGTCATGTACACATGACAGGGATTTAAATGTTTCAGATTTCCTCTGATGTAAGATTTTTTGACCCTCCCTGCTTTGAAAAAAAGATAAACCTATAATAAAAGGAGAAAGAGGGGAAGAAATCGATGAAAGTGAAGAGTGAAAAAGTTTCTCGTACACTGGATCAATAGCAGTCACTGTGGTATACTATTCCACAACTCAATCATGCTTATTTTGCCCTCTTCATTCCAAGATTAGGGGATAGGAGTGGTCACTGTTAAGTTCAGCTTTTCTTTTCCTCTGTTGTTTATATTGACCTGTCTTACTCTTTCTTTGCATTAAATGACTGTTATTGTGTCATTTTACTTCTCTGTGCTCAAGTAAAACAAAAGAAAATCTGAGAGGTAGGATTGCTGTCTTTTATGTACTTGGTTATCAGATGTTGGGGTATGATCTTCTATCAGATGCTGTGATATGATCTACTTCCTTAACTTCTATTTAACTTTTTCTTATCTGTTGTCAGCAAAATGTTGCTGCTGGTCTGTGATCTGACCCTTTTTTCTTCTTAACGGGAACAGCAACAACACGAAAGTGATTAGGTTAAGCCATATGTTATCAAAGCTAACTGGTCAAGACAAAATATCCCATTATCTCATTTAACTCTGCTTGAGCTTGTGTGGCCTGTTATATGGCATGTCTGCCTAGGTCAATAGCAGCAGCACCACAACTGTAACTCGTTAATCCTGATGTTCTTAGAGAAGTACGTATTGAAATGAGTAATTCCCATGAGGTCTGAAGGTCGTCTCTGACTGCTTTCTCCCTCCCTCCCTCCCTCCCTCCCTCCCTCTCTCTCTCTCTCTCTCTCTCTCTCTCTCTCTCTTTCTCTCTCTCTCTCTCTCTCTCTCTCTCTCTCTCTCTCTCTCTCTCTCTCTCTCTCTCTCTCTCTCTCTCTCTCCCTCCCTCCCTCCCTCCCTCCCTTTTGCTCTTGCTCTTTCGCTCTGTCACTCCTTACACTCTCAAACTTTTTAACATAACCATATGTCTATTTCTTTATGCCTTTATTCAGTACTCTTTAAATAGATTTTTCTGCCTATCCATTCATCCATTCTTGGATTGTTATTACTTAACACTTATTGGACCACGGAGGAGAATACTGCCTAGCCTGACTGCTTCCCCGGGACTGGGGACCATTATACTTATGAGTGAGATGACTCACATCAAAATTTTGTTTTATTAATGGAGATATGTTGTGGCTTAAGAAAACTTATTTCTTGACAGTTTCGTGGAGTTCCACGTCAATGAACTGTCTAGGGGCTGGCTGGGTTGTTCACATTAGAATAACTGGTATCTCATATGGTCAGAAAGTGGAAGTGGGTGGCAACTCTGGTCCTGGGATACTAGAAGTCAAGAGTGAGGCCGGTCCCATTGGTATTAATGCCCCTATAGACACAATCTAAATATTTAGGGCTTTTTTTTACCCTGCCTGTCAAGCCAACCCGGACTCAGTGGGATGCAGTATCCCAACAGAAACATGAAGGTACTCGGTGAGATCAACTTTAGCACTCAGGAATCAGTTTCATATTTTCTCAGTGGAATGTCATTGAATCTAACCATTTTGTCACAAACATTTATCCTTTCATTCATCATTCCATCCATCTATTTTTTCATCCATCAGTCCTTTCATCCATCTATTCATTATGTCTGCTGTCAATTCGACTACTCATCGATCTATTTATCCACTGTCCATTCAATGTTTCTTCCTTCCATCATATAGTCAGTCATTTTCTGAGTCTCCAGCTGGTTTTCTATTTACACACCCATCCGTTTGTCCACCTGTCCACTCATCTAATCTTTCTTCCAGGCATACTCCCATCCATTTGATTTTCCACGCCATTCATCTAATTTTTGCTTCCGTCATCGTGGGTATTTGGCGGGTGCGATGGTGTGGTTTGCTTCTTTTTTCCTATCAAACATCTCTCGTTCTTATCTCCCCTTCTTCTTTTTTATGTTTGTTACTCTCTTGTAACACCTGTAATCTTCTGGCGATCATATGACTGTATGCAGTTGTGAGCGCTGTAAAACCTCTACTAAAACTAAAACCAAAAGCTTTCGTCATCCGTCTATCTTGTTGTATATTTCAGGAAAGACCAGGACAAGGTGGAGAAGACGCGGGCTTTCCGTGAGGCAATGCGACGGGCAAAGCTTGACCATAGTCACATGCCCTCTGTCTGCTTCTACACATTCCTCAATGTATATCAAGGGTAGGACATTTTAAAACTTCTTAGTTTTCTCCTTCTCCTGTTACTGTTTTTTTGCAATGGCCTTTCAAAGATCTTTGTTAGTGCAATGGCACTCTCAGAGCAATAGTTAATTAATTTTACAATAGTGCCTTGGATTGTCGGGTGCTGTAGGGTGATTTGCCTGTTCTATTTCTTTTCAAGTGTTGTCCTTTTATCTGCATCTGATGAAATGAACCAATTATGCTCCTGTCCTGTGGAAAAGCACAACTTATGGAGAACAGCAACAATAGTTTTTACTGGCACTGACTTACTGTGGAAATAGTTGGGGGTCATTGATTTGTTTTTGGACACAGCGGGTAAGGTTTTTGGTCAATTTTCGATGAAATTATTGATTTTCTGGAAAGCAGCTTTTTACACCTTTGATCATTGCTGAATCAGATTTTCTGGTCCAGTTGGTAAAAAATATTGATATAATGGATGAAAATATGTCTAAAGCGACCTCACCCCCTCTTGCAAAAACGACTGCTTGGTCACTTTTGTTACCTTTTGTGTCTACCTGGTTCACTAAACTGCTATAAATGAGGTTATTTGTAACTTTACCGAAATGAGGTTTTATATGTGATTAGAAATAATAGTGCATACGGTACTGGAACTTCTAGAAGGAACAAACCTTCAAAGCGCTCAGTGACATTTTTAAATGCGTTTTTCTCAAAACTTAATTTTTGAAAGACCCTTCATTACTAAAATCTTAAAATCAGAGCTACTAATCAAGATAATGCACTGAAACTTTCCATGTATGTGCGCATTTGGTAGTTACAGGTACCTGGGTGGTTATATTTGAGAAAATGTAGTTAATATTTCTGAAATCAGCATGTAAAATTTATTTTGCGTTTAAAATTGGTACAAAAAAAGGGACATTACTTTAAAACCTCCAGAAATTCCGAATATTCGAAGTATGCAAAAAACCCCCCAACTTAGCCAGGTACCTATAACTATTATTATTTACTTGATATTTGTTTAAAAATTAACATTATGCCTTTTGGTTTTCAAAATTTTAATGTTTTCTTAAGTATTGTATAATTTCAATGTAGCTGACGGTGTTACCTAACACTTTGAGTTAAATTGTTTTTAAATGTTTTGATTTATGTCTTTTAGGGTACCACATGTTTTGGGAAAGTTTGGTTTCAAAAGATGCATAAATAACAAAGATAGCTTTTCTTGGTAGCTAAACAGGTTCTACTTTTGTTCTTTTTTCCCTGTTCTTTTTCTGTCCATCCTTCATCTAATTTCTTTTGTCTTATTGATGTGCTTTTTTTTCCTCCAACTCGAGCAACTATGATGAAGACAAATTGAAGCTCGACCCTGCTCACATTGAGAGTGAACACCTCACTTTTGACTGACACCTGCAGCAGGTTCAGCTTTGTTTTTAAAGGGTTTTTGTGAAACTCAGATCAAATTCAACAGGAGGGAGGATGGAAGTGCCTGTTTAAAGCCAAAAAAATTGTTTTCCCCCCCGCAATTATTTTTCTCACTGTGCTTGATTGTAATTGTTTTCTCCACATACCCCCCCCCCCCATCTCCCCCCCCACACACACACCCACACCTACACGCACACCCACACCTTCACACCCACACCTTCACACACACACAAACACACACACACACACACACACACACACACACACACACACACACACACACACACACACACACACACACACACACACACACATGCACACACATGCTCACACACACTCTATGTTTCTGTCTTCTCCAGAGTGACCAGTGTGGATATCTCGGATGACTCGAGTCTTCTGGCTGCCGGTTTTGCTGATGGCCCCATCAAGGTGTGGACGTTGACGCCAGGGAAATTGCGAGCCATGAAGTCACCTGATGACCTTGAAATGATTGATAAGGAAGCTGGTGGGTTACTCCAGATGTTTTCTTGCAGAATTTATTTTTTTTCCCTTGTGAAACTTGCATCGAATTAATTTTATCGTGTTTACTTTTAGTGTAGGTTAGTGCAAGGTTTTGGTGAAACTGAGGTCTGCAAAGATGAGTTGTCTATATGGGTAGTTTTAAGTGGAGCTTTATCCTGAATGGGCAAAGGAAGCAATACCATGTTTAAGGCTAACTTTTTCCAACTTGGGTCACCTTTTTTGCTATTATAGTAAGGGGAGGTTATTCTAATTTAATTGTATTTTGCTCCCTTCTTCATTATTGCTTATATAATATTGTCCACCTAATGTACAGCTGTTGCCTGACTCCTGAGCACCGGGATCTAAAACCAGGATTACTGGAGCATGTGTGACAATTCTCTTCACAGATGATGTGATGGAAAGAATCTTTGATGATCGCACAGCCAGCGACAATAAGGTTTTGACAGGTCACAGTGGGGCGGTGTATGCCACAAGCATCGGTCCGCACCGCGAGCACCTTCTGTCATGCTCTGAGGATGGGACAAGTGAGTCATTGACTCCTGCTCGGGGTTTTGCAAGTACAGGGTTAACCAAAAAAAAACAACTGGACAACTTTTTTTGTTAATATTTTCCTTCACACTGAAGTTTTGCATTTCAAATTTGGACACAACATTTGGAAGTCAAAAGGAATTTGTCCAATATTCATTAAAAATAAATCCACGGAATAGATTTGCTCTACGTAACACGTAAAAAAACAACCCATTTTCTGCTATGTCCCCATTTTTGTAGCATGGCGCACTAGTTCTCATTAGGCATACCACTAAAAACCCCAACGATTGCGCTATATTGCAAACTACAGTAGTCTGACAGGCCAACAGAAGTTTGCAGATAGTTCTTCTCAAGTTTCCTTTGCCTGCTGAGATCATGGTTAAGATTAGTAAAGAGTAGAGAGCTTTTTGTCTTGAACAATTTCTCACCTCCAACTCATTTCGTAAGTTTCGCACAAGGTACGGAAATAATGTTGAAGTGCCCTTGTGGCCTTCTTTGATGTCAAGGGTGGAAATGGTCCATCAGTTAGGACCTGTAAAGAATCAGAATTAAAAGTTCCCAGACAAAACGACCACTTCAGGTCAAACACACGGTTCGCACTCCTTTGAACGTCACCACCAGGGTACAGAATTCAGTAGATGAGCCCAATGAGACATCTAGTCCGTAGACGATGTCTGCAGCAATGACTTTCCTACATCTCAACTGTCCGCTTTCTCAAGGCAGATCTTCATCTACGACTGTACCATTTTCCCGTGTGCGAAGCTATCAGAGGATAGCAATGTGTTCATGATTTCTCGATCGTCTTGAAAAGCGTGAACATTTCATCTAAGACATTTGGTTTCTTGGCAAAGCCCATTTTCACCTTTCAGGTTATATTAACTCCACAAATGCTGTCTATTTGGGCAACCTCAGCCCTCCTCCCATTGTCTCTAGAAACGGCTCCATACTGTAAGGTGTACAGTGTGTGTGGCTTTGAGTACTCATGATTGAGGGGATCCTTGTGTTTGGCTACCACTGAACATTACGAACGACGTGTTTTAATTTTTCGAGTCCGAAGGAGGATATATAGATCATAGGTTCTTGGAATTTCAGAATTAAAATACAAATTCTCACCCTGTAGTCTGTAGGTGAAAAGAAATATTTTTCAAAGGTTACAGGTTTGAAAGGTTTGATTGAAAAAATAGAAGGAAAGAAAAAAACAAACCGATCATTTCATGACTATTCTTACAAGATCTTTTAAATTGGTGCATTTTGCGTTTATGGGTGGTTTTTATAAAAGCCTTTTTCGTTTTCGAAAACAAGTTTCTTCTTTGTAAATTTTATGTCAAACAAACTCCTTTTGAATGAATTATATCTGTTCCAAATTACAACAGTCTAGTACAAATTTTATGCGAGATATTTAGAAAAAAAGATGTACAGTTTTTTTGGATCACCCTGTGGCTAATGTAAGTTACTTGTCTTTGGTGTTTTCCCCCCCCCCCAACAGCTTCATGGCGGTATGACTTGCCCCTTCTATATTATTTTAGCTCTTGTAACGGGTGATGGGAGGGTATTCTGTAAATCTTTTCCCCTATCATATCAAGCATTTTTTTCATTTCCCCTTTTATCTAAAAATAAATGGGTTATACATCTCCTAGATTCTTCTTTAAGTAAGTCAAGCAGATCCTTTTGTACCCAAATATGTATACTAGAAGACTGGCTAATCTGGCAACACTTAAACGTAAAGATTAGCAGCCAAGACTATTACCCTGAGGTACTCTGGGGGTCAGATTTTTCTCACACTCATATAAGACTGCTTAACATTTTTTCTGAGACTGAACGGGAGGCTTCCGTCTCTGGTATTTGATGTTGTCCAGTCACAGCAGACATTGTATTATGTTCACTGGGGAAGGGGCTCAAATTCTTGCTTAAAACTTCTTAGGACACTTACATTCTGTCATGTTTTTTTCTCCTTACAGTTCGACTGTGGAGTCTTCACATCTGGTCAAATCTTGTGTGTTACAAGGGTCACAACTTCCCTGTGTGGGATGTTTGTTTCAGGTGAGTGGCTGGTGTGTGAACAGCTGATTTCTGTCTGAGCAGTCGGAAAAAGATGGAGGCTTATCTGTATTCTCAGCATCTTTCTTTGTGCACTGCAATTGTTTTTTGCTTTTTAAATTTCTTGCTTATGTGTTTCTTTGAAAGGCACAAAAGAATATATTTTGTTATTTCAAAGGCAGGGGTCTTCACTCTATGTTAAGAATTAAAAAGAAAGAAGGAAGAGAGTTAATATGTCAAAGCGATGTTCATGTGTATTATTCCTCCTTTTAGTGTGTTGCTCATCCTTCTGGTGTTTGTTGAGTCTGCTTGATGTAAAGCATTGATTATTGAACTGATTCAAGTTCAAGGTTATTAAATGGAAACACCACATAGGTAATTGATGGCTATTGGCTACCATTTATTTATTAACCAGAATTTGGATTTGTTATTCATTGTTAATGTACCTTGAGTATGTTATGTTATTCATCTCACAGCAAGACATGGGCCAAATTTACTTTTTTTTCTGTACTGTTTTCTGCTATCCAGCCCTCATGGCTACTACTTTGCCTCTGTGGGCCATGACCGAACTGCCCGCGTGTGGGCCACAGACCACTACCAGCCTCTCAGGATATTTGCAGGTCATCTGGCAGATGTTGATGTAAGTGGAGTGAGAATGCATTTGGTTAAGTATGGCTGTCTGTAAGCCTTTTGTTTCTCATTTGACTATAAATGATATTGGTGTGGGTTTTATTAAACGGGTCTTCTTCCCCAAGGTGAAAGGTTTTACGGGGAGGGGTATTTTATACCTTTTAGTGGCTCTAGAAAGTTGTTCAGATTGAAAAATCAGATCAAATGAACAGATATGCTGATTTTTAGGATAAACCCATAAATCTGCATTCTGTAATTGTCTGGATTTTGTATTATACTTTTATTCATATTTTTATCTTTTTTTGCATGTCATATTATCTTTTATATAAAATTAGACTCGATCCAAGATGCATTAGAGAATATTATGGCCTTTACATTTTTTAGTTCATGTGCGCACGTTTCCATGGGTTTAGAAAAGCTCCTGAATTTTTTTTTTTAGCCAGTTGGCGCCTCTCCATAAGTCTCTTTAACGTTTTGAAAACTGCCATTCTAGTAATTACTCTTCTACTACATCCTCTTGAAAGATATCTGCAAAAAGTTTTGGCCAATGAAAGTATCTTCACAGTTCAGTTGGAAATCTCTCTATTTATGCTTTGTACCTGATGGACTGGCTCAGGTCGTTTTGTAGATGATATTGATTCTGATAATTCAAAATCGAGTTCCAAGTAGCATGTAGTCACATAGCTGCCACTTTCCCGCTAAATAACAGAAACTCCGCTTCATCTAGCTTTTCCCGCTACTTTCCTCCTTCCTCCGCTGGACCGCTCTCGGCCGCAAATTGCGATACTTTTTTTACACGCGGAAAACACCGAACCGGGAGAGAGACGAAAACGCAGCTTGCGCATGTCCGCCCGTAGCTTTCTACTTCCGTTCTTCTAGGCCTAGCGTTAGTTTCACTTTGTTTATTGTGGAGCAACAAAGTGTCGATTGGGCATCGGGACGTTGTTAGCGCGCCGAGTTGTCAATGAAAACGGCGGAAATTCGAGAGAAATTGATGCTGAATGCAAAAATAAAAGGAGCTGAAATGAGAAAGAAGCTGCCGGTGCGACTTGAAAAGTTCATGAGAAAATTGAATAAACCGCTTGCTGCACTTTGCGTTTGGTGCGATAAAGAAATCGCGGCCCGCGGCACTCCTGTACAATTGCGGTCCCGTTTGTTTACATGACGGCTAGATTCTAGATCTAGATCTATATTGTGGCTGTTGATGAAGTGAACACTGAATCTAGATCTAGATAATCTATCTCTAGATATAATCTAGATTTACACATATTTAGATATCTAGATTCTAGATCTAGATTAGATAGCCTAGGCTATAATTATAATTTTAATTCAGGTTAGATCTACACTCTACAGAGGGACTACTAAGTTAAGTGCAAACGGGACTGCAGTTGTACAGGAGTGCTCAGTACAGCGGCAGAGGTGTTGCCTCCTTGATCCAATACTGCGCGCACTCTACATTGATGTACAAGTTTTAAGTTGAAAAAAATCTTTTTATAAGACACCAGCTTGCAACAAACACTGGATTTTTAGTCACCAAGTCTAAACTGTGTCAAATTGACTCAAATGCTTGTTAGTCTACTTAACTTAGTGCCTTTGTTGGGTTTTTTTGTTTGTTTTTTGTTATGTTGTTGTTGTTTTTTTTCAAATACATTTTAATTCAGTTGCCTATGGTTAACAAATATGACAGTTTTCCCTTCCAAAACCATAGGCTAGATTTTCCAGTATATATTGCCTCTGGATCTCACTGGTTTTACTCCGGCCTTCGGAGAGCGCGCATCCGCCTTCGCATGAATTTCCTCCTTTTTTGAAATTCCTGAGTGGCAGCTATGGTAGTCAGTGAGCATTAATGTGGTAAAATACAATAATTTTTCCAGTCTGTATGCATATGTTCACATGATTGTTGTATGTGTTCAGGTACATACACCGTCATATGTATGTGTGGACTTCAGTCACAGTACTCTTTGAAAGGCAAATTAATATTATGCTAGTGCCTCTGAACACTCACACAATGTATGTTTTAAGTTAAATACTCCGTCATATCAAAGATAGTACATAACAAGATGGGCCACTTCTCTCTTTGAGCCAATTAAAAAAGTGTCCTCAAAATTTGGTGGCGCCCTCTTCACAAAAGCGCACTCTTTGCGAACAGAGTTACCTTACTTGAGTTTTACAAAATCAAAGTGAAACTAGCATGTTTTGGGATAAATTTCGGAAGAACGCTTTTTTAAAATGGTTACGCTGACAAAAAACCTCTTCTGGAGGAAAGGGTGATGGTTTTCTTCGTTTAATTTGACTTTAGAATGAAAGGCGAGAGGTCATTAAAATAAAAAACCCCTAAAACTCCGCACTGAACGTACCCGAACTGCTGATGAACAGCAGTCGATCTGCGCACGCAAGGAGGTGCTATTCCTATTCTTCTTCTGGAAAAACGAAAGAGAGCTTCAAAACAGACTGCAGCGCCATCTGAAGCAAAGAGTATACTTCCTGCGGACACTTTTTTGGCTGAGTGGCCCATCTTGTTATTTACTATCTTTGGTCATATGTTTGCGTGAACTTCACAATCACAGTACTCATTGAAAGGCAAATTAATATGTACGCAAGTGCTTTTGAACACTCACAAATTCATATTTAATGCAGACCAATGTTCATCTCATACTCATGTACAGACATATCTGTACAAACATGTTCTCATGTACTTGAATACATGCACCCACACACTCACATGATAAGCTAATGTGTACTGTTGTTTACACAGATGAGCTCCTTCAATTCTCTTACACATTTATACACACCACATGCGTATTCACAGGCATACTCATGCACATATGCAATTGCATACACATCTATACACGAACACATGCTTTCACTCAACTACTCTTACAAACTCACACTATTCTCCTAACTGTATTTCCCCTGTTGTGTGTATCTTCCGGCAGTGTTGCCAGTTTCATCCCAACTCTAACTATGTGGCTACTGGCTCCAGTGACAAAACTGTGCGTCTTTGGGACATGCTGACTGGCAGTTGTGTACGCATCATGGCAGGACATCAGGTCAGTGCTCCTCTTAGTGGGTCTACCTCGCCTAACACTGCCCAGGTGCAGTGGTTCTCAGCTGAAGGCAAAGTTTCTCGTAAACCAATAGTTTTGGTTTGATTTTTTTTTAGGTGTATTTGGTGGGTATTTTTCTTATTTCTCTGCTTTTGCTCAACCTTGATCATCCCTGGTAGATGGGGATAGAGAACCCTTTTTTTTGCTCCGGTAAGGGCAAAAACCCGGAGATCCCATGTGCATGTTTTGCTCATTGAAGACACATTGGCAATTGAAAGTCAAAGAAAAGAAGGCCTGCAAATGCTAACTGCTTAGGCTAATTTTTAAATGAATCTTGACTGCACATGCTGGAAAATATGGGACACTCTGCTCTGGTAGGAAAATAGGTCATACCTGTTCAAAAATAAATTGAACAGCAGGTTTCCCCTGATATGAGGAGAAAAGAAAACTAATAGTTTCCTATTGATGTCAAAATTTTTGCTGCTCAGTGTTTTTGTCCAAGCTTATTTGCCATATTGTTAAGGTCACAGTCAATGCACTTGACATGAAAAGAGATAACACTTATTTCTTGGGGCTTATTTCGAAGTTGCTAACGCCACAGGTGTTCCAGTCCTATCTTGATTGTTTTAAACAATAGAAAACTATGATTTGACCTGCCTATAAATGAATGATTTAGTGATAAAGACAGAGTGAAGTGGAGGTCCATGATTGCCCTCGCCAGTCGGCAAGGCACCGGATGATAAATGAGTGAACTCCAGATAAGTTGTATCATTTTAACCAGAAAAGACAGTCTTAACTAACACATTGCATAGTCCTGTTGCATAAAGAATATAGTGTTGTATCATAATGTGCCACAAAAGGTGTTGTTTTGTAGGAGACATGGTAACATGTGATATCATTGGCCTGAACAAAATTTTTATCGCATATGATATGTAACATCTTTGTTCTGTTCCTGTCCTTTAGGGCACTGTCCATTGCCTCAAGTTCAGTCCAGATGGTCGCTACCTGGCTGCGGGAGGTAAGTGGTACTTGTATCGCTGAGTGGGGATGAGGGGGTATGAATAGATAACTGTAAGGATACTGATTTTATTTTCTTTCTTTTTTTGTTTGTGTGATTAAAGTAATAAGATTAATGGTGGAGATTCACATGTAAGCTTAGAATTGTGTTGTTTATCATAGGAGTGTGATTCAAGTTTGAAGGCTGCAAGTGTGCAGTGTGTTGTTGGGCACTGTTTTTAGAAAATTTGTGGAATGTTTTTCAGTGTGCATGTGTAAGTGAATGCATGTGTGTGTGTTTTTGTGTGTGTGAGTTTTGCGTTATGAAATGGGAGGTAGGAATGCTAATCAGCAGCGGAGAATGGCAGGATGAAGTCTTCCTTATTTCATTGTTTCAGGAAGCAACATCCTTGCATTCTGGACACGTCCATTGATGCTCCGTTGCTCTCTCCAAAATGCCGCTGAGGGTCTTTCTAATGATTGTGCCAGTGCATATCTGGTTGAAGGTTCTTTCGTTCTTTCCTGCACGGGTGCCTGATTTTCCGCTTCCTTTCTGTAATCCCAAAACCATCGTCTTCTCCACAGCAGTACTGGCCACTGCCTCCTTATCTTCCTCTTCAATCAGGTGGTGAGAGAGACGTTTCAGGGTCTTGACCTTGTTTGTTGAACCGTGCTGTGTATTGAGGTGGCCGTTCCTGCCAGTCTGTCGGTTTTTTCATTTCCTTTAATGCCTGCATGGCCAGGGCAGAAAATCCATGTGAGCGGTCGTATTGGCGTTGCTTCGATCAGTTGAACCCATTTTGGTATCAGGTAACCTTTTCTGATCTTTCTGAGTGTACACATGGAAGCTGTGATGAGAACGGCATGGGTTGTGTGTGTGTGTGTGTGGGGTGATGGAGAGGGCGAAACAGTAGGAGGATTCTGAGAAACTGGTGGGTAAGTGGGATATTTGGGTTTTTATGGGGGCTATCTCTAGCTCTTTTCACTGGGCCATTTGTTCTGTATAAATTACAGGATCCCTTGCTTTTGAATTTTTGTCAACAGTCTCATTGATATCACTCTTGTTTATAGAAACTGCAACATCTGTCTCTGTCCATGCTTATTTTGATCTTGGTGAGATCCCTGTATTCTCCTGCCACCTCTTCCCATTCTTCGCCAAGTGGTAGATTTTCAGGTACACAGACTTTTCTGAGGGAATCCTCTGCTTCTGCCGTCCAAGACTTTCCTCTTTTGATTCTGCATCTCTTGTTGTCATGAAGTGCTTTGTGTAGTGGATGATCTTTCTTGCCCATTATATTTAGATAAATCTTTGCTTGAGCTATCCTATGGCATACTCTGATGCCACTCTTTTCCTACTACTGAAACAATTCCAATCGCCGATGCAGATGTTTTTCATTTTGAGCCTGTCTGCTTTTCCCTGATTCTTTCTTTTCCCTGCCCTTCTTTTTCTGGCATCTCCTCTCTTTCCTCTCCTCCATCCTCTCCTCCACTCAGTCCTCAGCAACGATTTTGGAAAAAGCATTGCCAAAGGAAGATGTTTTCCGCCGCTCCTGCGCCATTTCCTTTTTTGATTTTTAAAACTTTTACTCATTTTTGATTTTTCTATGCTAAGGAAGAAAACTGTCGCCCTGGCAGAGCCCTATACCAGGGAAGAGACATGGGATGTCTGTACAGAGTCCATACGCTTGGCGCCGTCCCTCTCGCTTACCAGACGCCCATGTTAGTGATTACTAAGTCTTGTAGCCATTCATCCAATTAGCACGTAGGTACACCGTAAGATTAGGATTTGTGTGAGGCTGATTGACCCACGGTCTTGCGTCCCTTTGGCAGATGGTATTGCTCCTGTTGATCCGTTGTGTTCTGTTTCTGAACCTCATGGTTTTGATTAGCAGGTGACACCTCTCTCCCTCTCTCTCTCTCTCTCTCTTCAGGCGCTGTGGCGTCATAAATGGTCAGGGATGCCGACAGCACGCAGGAACTCAACACTTGCTCGGGGGTCCTTGAAAAGTGCTGAAAGTGGGTTACTGAAATGTTCCTGCAGATGAGTTCTGGCACGATAGTTGGCGGGGCATCTCAGGAACACATGGTCCATAGTTTCGTCCTCCTCCTTGCGGGCTCGACAGGACGGATCTGGGTTGTCTGCTGACACAGTTTTGTGGAGATGTGATCTCAGCTTGGACGATTTTCCACCAGTTCTCATTCAGATGACACCTCTGGAAGGATGTGGATTTTCGCTCACGCTCAATGGTCTTGAGCAGTATAGAGGTTTGCCTGATCAAAGTGGACTAACAGCTCGAGATGCACGCCACTATCACCCCATAAATCTTGTGGGACCAGGAGGAGAGTGGGGGAGCAGCAAGTGTGCTCACTGCCCACAATTCTTAACGTGTTCTGCCCCTGGGCTGCAGCCCTCATCCAACTAATAAAATGAAGCACACAAGTGTTCACAGGCATTCTTCCCCCTCACACAATGGACAGAGAAATGGATGGCCCTTCCACCTCCACCACCGCCTCTTGCTCCCACACCGAGGTCCACATACAACAGAGACTCTCCACCTCCACTCTCCTCATCTCAAAACAAGTGAACACAAATTTGCCAAGGGGATGTGCACTTTCCATTTTCTCTTTGAAAACGGGCAAAAACTCTTCACTGAATGGTGCAAAGACGGAACAGTCTCAAGCCACCAGCTTTTCCAGACCACTTCATCTGCTCAAGTAGAGTAACTTCTCCAGGCTACACATGGTCCACAGTGTGTTGTCAGAAATGCTCAGCTTTTGTAGGCTGGACAACTCCGCCACCAGCCTGTTCAAGAACAGCGCACCAGAAACAGGACCAAGATGGCAGCCAGACAAATTTAGTTCCTTGAGGCTACACTTTTTGCCCGAGGCCACAAAGGCCTGCAACTGTTCTGAAAGTTCAGCACCACGCTGTGTCCTGGTGTGTGAGAGGTCAAGGACAAACAAGGAGTTGGTGTATAAATTGGACAAGAGCAGGGCAACCCCTTTATCGCATATTTGGTTTTCAGCAATGATCAGCAGCTTTAGAGACCGCCCTCTCAGGGCATAGCAGAAGCTGGGAGTAAAAACTCTGGTAGACAGACAGCCACACTGAGTTCAGTAAGACAGGTCAGATTTCTCAGCATGCTGGCCAGCCACTTGGCCGCCAAGTCTCCCAGACAGTTGTGGCTCAGGTTGAGCTCTTGAAGACTATGCAGGCCGCTCTTAAATGGTCTTGAAAGAGTATGTAAACTTTCATAGATATGAAAGATGTTTTGTCTCCAGATTTTATGATCTGAGGTTGGGTATATCTTGGAGGAGTTCAGCGAAGGGAACAAGATTTGTGTCTCCGAGACAGTTCCAAGCCAGACTTAGGTTCGTCAGAGTTCTTTGCCCTCGTAAAGCGCAGTAAACTGGCTGCAGCTCCTGGTGGCTAAAAACAAAGTCACAGAGGGAGAGATGACCGCTGGCCACACAGTCATGGAGACGCTCAGACACTTGGCGGTTGACGTTTGTGAAGTTCATAAACTGACATGCTTTAATGTAGCGTTCTTCCAGCTGCGGGTGCTCCCAAAGATTGACCGTTACCTTGGGGTGGTCATAGTTAGCCACCACTGCAGATATTGAGTCTACAGGGTAGAGAGTACACTGAGTGGTACTGAGAGTAAGGACTGCGTTGTTGGGACAGGCTGCAGTAACGTTTAGCCACTTCACCAGCCAGCCACGAGATGCTCTTACCACTGTCTGATGCCTGCAGGGGAATGAGCAGTGTCTTATCCTTCACCTCTACCGTAAATATCAGCTCTGGTCTCCCCAACAGGATCACTCCTCTCCACAGCTGTGTCCTCCTGTGGAAGTACCAGAGACTCCACCTCTGAGAACCAAGTGTGTCCTGAGCTAACATGTCCACTTCTGACTGGCTGGCTGAAGGTGGGACCTCAAAGAGCACATCAGCTTGACGGAAGGAGCATTCCTCCGAGTATCCCTGATTCATTTCATTTCTCTCTCATCCTGAATGTTTCACTCAGCTGCCTCTGACTCAAGGGCTGCCTCTTTCTCCATTGCAGTCTCCAATGACAATTTGTCATTATAATATAAACGCACCTATTCCCAGCAATGGGTTCTCTCCATCCTTTTACTTTTTGCCTTCTTTTCACAAATTCTGAAAATTTTGAGACTTTGCGCCTCTTAGTTTGGCCAGTCCTGAGTTTTCTAATTGAAGTTGTGGGGACAGTACTCGCAATGGCCGGGTGCTCCCAAAGATTGACCGTTACCTTGGGGTGGTCATAGTTAGCCACCACTGCAGATATTGGGTCTACAGGGTAGAGAGTACACTGAGTGGTACTGAGAGTAAGGACTGCGTTGTTGGTACAGGCTGCAGTAACGTTTAGCCACTTCACCAGCCAGCCACGAGATGCTCTTACCACTGTCTGATGCCTGCAGGGGAATGAGCAGTGTCTTATCCTTCACCTCTACTGTAAATATCAGCTCTGGTCTCCCCAACAGGATCACTCCTCTCCACAGCTGTGTCCTCCTGTGGAAGTGCCAGAGACTCCACCTTTGAGAACCAAGTGTGTCCTGAGCTAACATGTCCACTTCTGACTGGCTGGCTGAAGGTGGGACCTCAAAGAGCACATCAGCTTGACGGAAGGAACATTCCTCCGAGTATCCCTGATTCATTTCATTTCTCTCTCATCCTGAATGTTTCTCTCAGCTGCCTCTGACTCAAGGGCTGCCTCTTTCTCCATTGCAGTCCCCAATGACAATTTGTCATTATAATATAAACGCACCTATTCCCAGCAATGGGGCTCTCTCCATCATTTTACTTTTTGCCTTCTTTTCGCAAATTTTGAAAATTTTGAGACTTTGCGCCTCTTAGTTTGGCCAGTCCTGAGTTTTCTAATTGAAGTTGTGGGGACAGAACTCGCAATGGCCGGGTGCTCCCAAAGATTGACCGTTACCTTGGGGTGGTCATAGTTAGCCACCACTGCAGATATTGGGTCTACAGGGTAGAGAGTACACTGAGTGGTACTGAGAGTAAGGACTGCGTTGTTGGTACAGGCTGCAGTAACGTTTAGCCACCTCACCAGCCAGCCCCGAGATGTCCTCTGTTTCAACAGTTTTGCTGTCAAGTGGACTTTTCTACTTCCTTGGTGCCATGGGTCTTTGCTTGGCAACTGTCTTTTCTAGAGACCTCAGCAAAACATCTTCCTCAGAACTGTGGACATCCTCAGGATCTGGCAGATGTAAACTCTTTGGTTTTGTTCTCACTCCTGGCGTCCTGGGCTCTCATCAAGACTGTTCTCCTGACGTCCTGGGCTCGCATCAAGACTGTACTCCTGATGTCCCAGGCTCGCATCAAGACTGTACTCCTGATGTCCCAGGCTCGCATCAAGACTGTACTCCTGATGTCCCAGGCTCGCATCAAGACTGTACTCCTGATGTCCCAGGCTCGCATCAAGACTGTACCCCTGATATCCCAGGCTCGCATCAAGACTGTACTCCTGATGTCCCAGGCTCGCGTCAAGACTGTTCCTCCTTGACCGAGCTGTTCTCCTGTGAAATTAAAGTGACTTGCTTCAAGTTTCCATCAATACAAGCATGGTGCAGTAGAGTTTCGCCTTCCTCATTTTTCCCTTGCAAAATCTAATTGCCTTGATCTGCCACTTTCCCAAGAGCTTTGTTCATCTTCATCAGAGTCCTCATAAACAAGGAGATCGGAAATGCTGAGGTTCCTGTTTCCTTCCTCTGTTTCTTCCTCCTCATCAGTAGAAGAGTCTTCCTCAGTGAGGCTGGCTTTTATCCTCTGCCTCTGTACCATAGCTAATATTTTCTCTGTCTCCTGCTGATGATGAAAGCGTTTGTGAAGTTTCCGCACGGCTACCAAAGCCTCCAATACCTGGACCTGTAGATCCCAGTGCTCTGCTTTCTGTGCAGCCTCAAATGCTGACATGTAGAGCTTTCTAGGAGGGCTCTCGTGGCCTAAAGGTTAAGGTGTTCACCTCTCATTCAAAGGTCGCGGTGTCAAGTCTACGGATCGGCAAAACCACATGTCTTAAAAATACTAGATCCAATACAAAACCAAGGACCCCGCCTCGCTCTGGGGGCTTTCCGCACTTCTCCGGTGGAGAGCCTCCAGGCCGAGGCCAACATACCACCACTCTCACTCAGACGCACACAACTCTCACTACAATACGCAGTTAAACAGAGCTCAACACCGGAAAATCCAGCGCACAACAGCATTTTTAAAACAAATCCAGAAACCAGAAACAAATTCCAAAACAACGAAAAACTCATCAAACCCTTCGGCCTTAGAATCCTTAAGGACCTCAAAAACTTAAACTTTTCCAAACAAGACATCCAACAAATTCTTTTCCCCGACCTCCCTCCGTGGCACCTCACCAAGGCAAAAGTAGACTTACAGCTGACCACACACAACAAACAAAGCACAAACACCAAAACTTTTCAAGCAGAATACAAAAAACTAATAGATAAATACCCCGGTGCGGAGCTCATCTTCACAGATGGCTCCAAAAAAGACAATGAAGTGGGCACCGCAGCCCTATCTTCCAACAGTACACACCAAAGGAGACTCCATCCTGAAGCCTCCATTTTCTCCGCGGAGGCCACTGCCATTGACATGGCACTGGACTCTGTAGAAAATTCTCCTAACAAAGCTTTCCTTATCCTTTCTGACTCTCTGTCTTGCATCACCTCACTCACAAACTACACGCTCTTACACCCAAAAATAGTTAGGCTACAACAGAAAATACACACACTATCCGAAACAGGAAAAAACATCATGTTCGCATGGATATCCAGCCATGTGGGCATCCGAGGAAACGAGCAGGTAGACGACCTGGCGAAGAAAGCTTCATCCCTTCTGCTGGGATCAACGACAAACACCCTCCCACAGACTGACTTTAGAAATAAAGTCAAAAAGTACACCTCCAGTCTATGGGAGAGCCACTGGGAAAACCAGAAAAATAATAAACTATATGAAATAAAACCCAAACTAGAACAGCGAAATCCTTTGGACCTCTCCAGAAGAGACGAAGTCATTTTTACTCGATTGCGCATCGGACACACGGCCCTGACCCACAAATACCTCCTACAGGGAGATGAGAAGCCGTTCTGTGTCGGATGCGACACAGATTTTACCATTAGACACATTTTAACAGAATGTCTAGACTTTGGAGAGATCCGAAGGAAATATTATAAATGCAAGAAATTGCAGGATATTTTTTCCGTCGTTGTTCCCAGCATAATTAAAAATTTTATAAAGGCCATTGGCCTTTATGGCGAGTTGTAGAGTGAATTTGATATTATTAAAAATTTTTATTGTTACTTAAAAGTTGTTTTAGATCACAAATGTATTTACACCGAATTTAAATATTTTTAACTTTTTAGCATTTTAAAATAAATTAGTTAACCAGTCGTGAAGTGAACTTTTGCGAAAGTGAACAACTTGTGTTTCGCGCGCTCATATGACCTTAGCAGTTGCGAGCGCCGTAAAACCTTATACTATACAAATACAAAGGTCGCGGGTTCAAATCCCGGTAGCGACCAAAAAATATTCTCTAAAATTGTCTCCTTTCACCTCCTTTCCTACTCTCTAGCAATGTTCTGTCGTCTGCTTTCATCTTCACTTTCTGCTCCCACCCCCTCACCTCCTTTGCTACCTCTTCTGGGCTCCTGACTCTTTCTCCAGCCTTTCAACTTGTACTCCTTGGCTCCTTCTTACTGCTGTCTTTCAGCCACACCCCTGATCTTCTGGTAGGAAAGATCTACTCCTAGCCTTCTCGGACAATGGCAAAAAATCTTGGAGGTCCCGTGTGCGAGTTGCGCACGTTAAAGATCCCTTGGTGGTCTAAAACCGATAAGAGTAGGCTTCGGCTGCCACCCGGGCAATGATAAAAATTTCCTACCAACTGAAAATGTTTAATGTGTCCAGCGCGCTCGTGACCTTATGCAGTTGCGAGCGCCGAAAACGTTTACAGCCCCCCCCCCGCCCAAAAGAGCTTTCTAGTGACTTTATACTTGGAACCTCTCTTCTCTTCTATAGCTGCCATGTTCAGGAATGTTTCACTGATATTTTGTTCCTCATGAAGTTCCTGCAGCTCAATGTAGTAATAGAAGAGAGCGTTGTCCAATTGCCCCAGGAAAATGTACGTCTGTGCCAGAGACTCATAGATGGCTGCTTTCTCATGCCAATACATAAAGTCGAGCCATTTCAGTACTTTAATGTAGTTGGTCACAGCCAGCGTGTACAATTCCAACTCCAGAAAGTTGTCTGCAATATTTTTATGCAGTATGCCTTGGCTCCCCTCATCAGGCATTATTTTAATATTGAGATAGGCCTCTTCAATGTTGTGCACTGACTTGTACATTTTGACCTCATCCATTGCCATTTCAGTTTTCAGACGATATGCTTGCATGAGGCTGTGTTTTGCTTGAGGATGTTGTTCGTTTTCCATGCTGGTGTGAATCTATGCTTTCTGTATAAATAATATTTTTTCACAATGTTTGAGCTTCAATTTCCTTACCATTTCAAGGACTATCTTGAGATAACATAGCTCCAACTTGTAATCTTTTTCTTTTTGATACATTTTGGCTAAGGCCTCATGGCACCTATACAGCTCACCATCCAGTTTAAACTCTTTGGCAATCCGCACTGCTCTTTTCACTTTATCTCGACTCTGAGATCCAACACTACTCCAAGATTTCTGTATAGTTCACAGATCAGGGCCATAATCTTTGCACAGGTGCCCAATGCCTTTTTGAATGCTCGATAGGCATTCTTGCTGGCCTTAGCTGACTGCAGAGAATCCTAGGACAATACTGGCTCTGGCTCAGGCATGCTGCTCCTCCATGTGATTCTGGTACTCTCTGGATAAATTTAGGTGCCTCTTCATGTGGCACGTGGGCTATGTATAAGCTCCTAGGGTGCAGTGGCACTCTCCAATATTGCCACAAACAACTGCTTGCCCAATTCTGCCATCAATAAGGCGGCAAAGACGAAGTTCTTGCTCATACTCCTTTATCGCCTGCTCATACTTCCCAAATTGGGAGCACAGTTCTGCAATGCGGTTACAGGATCCCAATGCCTCTTTGATTAAGCCACTGATAACGAATCAGTTCTGTTACGTCTTCGTCCTCCATGTTAAAAAAGCCCCCAGGCTACACTGCTCTGATGACTAATGACTACTGATGGCAGAGACCACGTGGTGTGCTTTCAAGGCAGTTTCAGGCTTAGGACCGTTTTGATGGAGTGGCGCACCCAACCTGTCCCGGACCGGACTCCTGGGCGAGGTTTCAAAAAAGTAAACATAATCATTCGTATATGTTTGTATGTGTCGTCATGTATGTGTGTATACTATGGGCCGGTATCTTGTGATTCTCCCAGGTGCGGACTGCCTGGTGATGTTATGGGACCTGTCCACCGGCACAGCGGTGGCTCAGATGAGAGGTCACACCCTCACGGTGTACGCGCTGTGCTTTAGTCGCGACGGGACTATCCTTGCTTCAGGTAACCTCCAAAAGTCTCTCAGAATTGAATTTTTTTAAACGTAACTTATCTTTCAACTGAAGGAATTATCAGCACCTAATTTGGACATTTTTTGTGTTTTTTTTCTTTCATCTAAAAGGTAATTCGTATTTTGTATGAAATGGTGTAGGTTCATGTCTTCATTATTTTTTCTCTGTCATTTTGAACAAATCTAGAACAGAGAAAATTGTTTGATCTAGTGTATATGTGAGGCATCGTGGCGAAATCTAGGCGCTCGTCAAAATAATAAAATCAAAGAAACTGGTATTTTTCTAGCCACTTGGCAAATTTTTTAGAATTTTCATTTTTTGGCTTGACACCTTTTATATCCATTTAAATGCACATTCATGTATGAATGTTTACTGAAAAACATTGATTAAAGGCACAAAAATGTACATTTTCTGTTTCAAAGGAATCTCGCGCTTTGGAAGTCACCCAAATTTTGCGGCCATTTCTTGCTATTATTACTACAATTACCAGGTGATCCCCACCTTCTTCGATCTCGAATATCTCGTCTTCTGTACTTGAAATAATGGATACTTTTTTCTTCAAAAGCAAGGCAAATGAACAAGCTTTAAGATGATACCAAGATCTCAATATGCTGAAAAATTGACGAATACCTGATTCCACCATGCCGCGTCTCATATGTATTTTGATTTCTGGTAGTGTTTTTCTGTAACTATGTCTTTGTAAAAATATGTTGAAATGCAATTTATGAATTGACATGTTCTACAACGTTTTTATTTGGGAGTACCATTTAGCGTTGGAGTGGTTGGTGGGTTCTCTGTTATATTTGTTCCCTCTGGTCCTGTTCAGCGATTCTCTTACCCTTATCTACGATGAAATATATAGCAACTATCCTGCTCACTTGTTGTATGCTGCAGCTCAACCCCACGTAACTGTAAGGTTATCTTGCACGTTGGTTAATGCTAATGCTTTTCTATGCCATCAGCATACATCTGATATTTGGTTCTTTGTGTACCCCGAGCAGGCAGGAGGATATAAATAGTTTGCCTCCCTATGGCTGAGTGTCAGAACTCCTTGGTTTTTAAGGTTTTTCTCACATGCAGCAACTTTGTAGGCTGAGGAGTGGTGTCTTTTCTTTATAGTTCATCTTGTCTCTTGAGGGCTGCCCAAGTGGCTTGGAGTTCAGTCTTGCTCAGACCAGATTACAAGTACCCCATAATGTGTGGGGCCTGTATTTGACTGTTCATACTTCTGCCTAACAGGGTCATCTCTCTTCCTAGCTATGGTTTTATGAATATGTACTTGTTAGGAATCCACACCCATTCCCAATTAATGGTTGGTGGGTGTTCTATAGTGGCTTCTGCTTATTCTGCTTTTTTTGGCGTTACATTTATTGTCCTAGTCATTGTCTTACAAAATATTGAAGTTCTTTAGGTGGCTGGAAACTACAACCCAACAACACAATAGTTCGTGGGCTCACAAGAAATAGGGTAGTGTTAGCAACAGATCCTTGTCTGCAAGGTAACCTTTCCTTTTCAAAACCTTAGGTAGTACTGTAAGTTAATCTGTAAAAGACGGAAGTAGCTGCAAAGTAATTTATATCATGATTTACTAGTGGGATGGTGTAATATTTTACAGGTATGGACTCTGGATTTTGAAAAAGGAAAAGAAAAAAAGAAAAGTTATGTCTGTCAGTGTCACGACCGATTGCGTTTGTTCCACAGGTGGCCTGGATAACAGTCTGAAAGTGTGGGACATCCAGAAGGTTCTGGCGGAGCAGGACACGGAGGCAGACACGACAGTGCCCAGTAACATCTCAGTGTAAGTCTAGGACTTCTCTTCCTCCCACACTTTGAGCTGACTATCTCTTTTAAAGTCTGTGGACCAGGTCTAGGAAATATTATAAATGCAAGAAATTGCAGGATATTTTCTCCGTCGTTGTTCCCAGCAGAATTTTAAATTTTATAAAGGCCATTGGCCTTTATGGCGAGTTGTAAAGTGAATCTGATATTATTTAAAATTTTTATTGTTACTTAAAAGTTGTTTTAGATCACAAATGTATTTACACCGAATTTGAATATTTTAACTTTTTAGCATTTTAAAGTAAATTAGTTACCAGCCGTGAAGTGAACTTTCGCAGAGACGAACAACTTGTGTTTCGCGCGCTCATATGACCTTAGCAGTTGCGAGCGCCGTAAAACCTTATACTACTACTACTACTACCAGGTCTAGCTGGTAGTTAGAGGCTATTACCTCTACAATGGCTTGAAATAGGACCCAGCAACACAAAATTTTTCAGCATTTGAGTGATTGTAAAGAAATTGAATGCTTATATTCAGTTGGCACTTGTACATAACATTTTGCTCTTGAGCTTTTCTGTGGTATTAATATGCTCATCCTGTTAAAAAGAAGTAAACTTCTTTTTAAATTTTCAAATTGGTCGGTAGTATCAAATTGGTCGGTAGCATCAAATTGGTTTTTTTTTTCAATTCTTGTGAGAGGTAAATGGTACAGCTGATAGTTCTTAATTGCTTTCCCACTTTTTTGTCTTCATTCCTAGCAAATGATTTGTTTCTTTTTCCCCCCCAGCAATGACAGTCCATCTCTTCTTTTGGCCACCTTCTCCACGAAACACACCACTGTCTTGGGACTTCATTTCACCCGCAGGAATCTGTTGCTGGGATGTGGACCCTATAGCCCACCCCCCGCGCCCGTCACTCCCTCCTAGGGTTCAACCTGTCACTACTGGTATAATATGAGTTCTGTGGAGGCTTTCCACTTCTGAGAAATTTCTGGCAGACATGAAACAAATGCAGCTTGATGTTTTGGAACAGGATGCCAAATGTTCTGCTGAACTCATAGGAGAGTCCCTCATTCAAAATCGTTGTAGCTCTGTCCCTGGAAAGTCCTGATAAACTGGCAAAGGCATATTTCTTGACAAGAAGTTTGATGAAGGGCTCAATCTCCTGTTTCCCTTCACTGTGCGGAGCGCCACCATGAGGAATGGTTGAGTGCAGTGTTTCAAACCTCACACGCGAAAAGGTCTGCCCATACGCTGGGGTGTTGAAAAATATTCTTGAAAAAAAGTAGTCCGTCAATTCAGGACGATTATCGAGTCCTATTGCTGTCATGATAGTAATGAACTTCCGAAGTTCGTATAGGCTCACAGGCTTAATGTTCTTGAGGCAGGAATTACGTTTGGCTGGATTGTTCTTCGTCATGACTGTCTTTGCATTGTCGTTCGTTCCTTTGATGAGGTGGTCGGCTATGTCATCTGTGAACAGGGATGCAAAGCAGTCTAACTCCGTTGAGTTGGCGTTGAGGTCTGCGTTGACACCACATTCTCGTCAGTTTTTCGTTCTCATCACCAAATTGGAACCCTTCGTGTGTTGTTTGCATCCTGGTGTCAGGACATTCCAATTAAATCTATCTTGTACATTTGCTTTCTTCCTTCTCTTTGCTTTGCTGGGACCAGGCTGGGGCTACGCCCCCACAGGATAAGCTTATTCAGGGTCTGTGTCTAAATCGCTACTACTATTAGAATCTCTTCTTCTCCTTGTCCGCGTGGGTCTACAAGTCGAGGGTCCTGGTTTATCACCTCTTTCATCAATCACAAACTCACCGTCATCGTCTTCAGAGCTGCTAGAATCACTTGTCCTGATTGATTGAAATAAATTAAGTGCTTGTTTAGCAGTGTATCGTCTTGCTGAACGGTCCGCTATTTCAAAAGCGATGTTTGGCAAAGATCACTTCACCTCGTTCAAACTGATCGACAAAGCGTCACCAAGAGGTAGAATTTATTAATCTTTGACTTTCGGGTCAAACTAAAGTCTTGTTAGGTCGTCTTTTTTTATATTTGGACTGTAACATATTAACTTCACATCAGATGGTGTACCGTCACCGTCCAGCCATGGTTATGGACCTCAGCTTCCGGACGGTGCCAACGTTCAGAGATGGTTAAAGAGTTAAAGACACGAAAATGTAATTTTTCAGTTTCCAAGAATCTCATTCTATGGATGTTACCAATCTTTAGTGGCCATTTTCTCACTAATTTCACCTTTGAAATCAAGTGACCGTCTCCTCCCTCAATGATAAATATCTCGACTTCTATTCAAGATAGATGGGTATTTTTTTCATAGAAAGATAGACTATAATTAAAGAAGCTTTAAGATGGTACCAATAACTCCACATCCCCAGAAATTGACAAGCACCTAATTCCACCGTGTCGTGACACATATTTGGACATAATCATTGTCATTCTAACTGGCGTCTGTGGTGTAGCAGTTTGGCTCTTCACTGTCACACAGAGAGGATGTGAGTTCGATTCCTGTATGGATTAGCTTTTTCGTGTGTTGAAAATCACCTAGCATCTATTGAAATGTGGTGTCTTACTCAGCCTAGGTTGGCTGTGATTGTGACGGACAAGGTTGAAGCAGTCGGTCTTCTGAGTGATAAATTGTGTCAATGAAAGTGTAAAACATCACAGTTAAAAGATAGAAAGAGATGATTTTTATTGAAGATTTATGAAGTAAAGCACTTATGAAAAATGCCGAACTGTGCATTGTATATTTGTATGGCAGTATGGGCTTTTTGTAAGAAGGTGTCCGTATGAATGACTGACGCTGGGATAAATTATCATTTAGTGTATTATGAACTTGGAGAAAGGCAACATCCGAACGGTATGTCACTCTGCCTTTGATAAGACGACCTAAGTTGTGCCTTGGTAGGGTGAAAGTTTGTCCATCAGACTGTGTCAGTGAGCTTGTTTACTGGATACTGACGGCAGTAACTGACCATGTAGAGTGCGTTTATAATTATGCATTTCTTGTACATATGTTGTGCGTGTGAGTGGATAATAATTATGTAATATGTATGTGTGCTTGTTGGTATCTAGTATGTGTGTGCATGTGTATATATGTACATCTCATTTTCGTTTCATTTTTGTATATATATTAGTAATGCTTGGGGCATCAATAACAAATTTGACCAATTTGACGTTTGTATCTTTGCAAGACTGTGTGATGTCTGTGGTATCATAGTTGGACGCTTTTAATTGCACCCAACAGGATGTGATTAGGAGTTTATCTCTGGGACTGGGAGGACATTGGCGGTATTCCATACTGACTTGTTTGATCCTTATGGGATGGATTGAAGCAGACTTTGGTCTGGGATATCATTGTGTAGATAGATGGATAAGCGTTTTGTGTGTTTATCGACTGCTTCACAGATTAATGTTGTTGGTCATCTTTGCATTTAAGAAAATTGATCATTAAAGGTCTTGGTCTATAATAATTGCATAAACCTTTGTCTGTTGTGACTTTTTTCATGGTTTGTGGGGATTCTGTGTTCTTGTGGTTTGCTCTGTCTGCTTGTTTGTCAGTGTTTCTTTAGTGCTGATCTGGCTTCTGGTAAATTATGATCATTCTGCTCCTTCCTATCTGTAAATGGTTAATTTGCCCTACCCATTTTCTTCTTCATCTTGACTTACCACGTCGTCTGTCATGCCAAGTCTATCATGTGTGCTGTCTTTGCTAATTTGTGACTTTACCCAGCTAAACCGGAGAAAATCTAGGGGTCCTGCTGATTTCTGTTTAAGTGGCCTCAACTGTATGGATATTTATTTTAAAAAATATATCTATGTGTATGTATATACATGTAATATGACCAGTGTCTATGGTGTAGCGGGTAGGTACTTTTGCTGTCCCTTAAAGGAAACTCGAGTTCGCGTCCCGACCAGAGGGACATTTTTATCAAGTATCTTGTTCTTTCTGGTGGGATGTTGCTCTAAGCTCGGGTTGACCCTGACAAGCAGGGTCAGAAGCTTGCCTTCTAAATGATCTGTGTTATGAAGTTATAGTTATGAGGATGTAAAGACACCTACATTTTTAAAGATTAAAAAACAGTCTGTCATGCTGAGGTTTTCAGTTTTGCAGCAAAAGTTTGTGCTATTTTGAGACTACCCCAGATTACTGGTTTTTATTATTATCATTTTTACTTTTATTGCTTTTTTACAGTTATTACTTTCATTATAATTTGTTTTTATTATGGTCATGATTGTTTTGTTTTTCTTTGTTTTGAGGCCAAAATATACCGCTTCCAATTGTTCCATACAATTGTTCAGCACACATAATATAGCACATAGTGAGCACCTACCAGGGAATGTGCTTAGATCTATATATATATATAGTAGCCTATATAGCAAACTGATGATCAAGTCCCAAATTTTAAACAAATATGTAATGTAATAATTTTAAAACTTAAAACAAATACATAGCGAAATTCGTACAAAAGATTTCCAGGTCACGCTGATTTGGCTTTGTGTGTCTGTATGTTATAATGTAAAATTTCGTTGTTTTGAGAGTTATTCCAGTGAAACGAGTTATGAAGAAAACAAAATGATTCGGTTGTTGTTTGGAAATTGCTGTCAACTTAGAAAAAGAAGGGGGGGCTCTCATGGCCTAGAGGTTAAGGTGTTGGCCTCTCATTCAAAGGTCCCGGGTTCGAATCCGGGTAGCGACCAAAAAAATTTTCTTCTCTAAAATTGTCTCCTTTCACCTCCTTTCCTGTTCTCTAGCAATGTTCTGTTGTCTGCTTTCATTTTCACTTTCTGCCCCCACCCCCTCACCTACTTTGCCCCCTCCTCTGGGCTCCTGACTCTTTCTGCAGGCTTTCTACTGTTACTCATTGGCTCCTCCTTACTGCTGTCTTTCTGCCACACCCCTGATCTTCTGGTAGGAAAGATCTATACCTAGCCTTCTCGGACAAGGGCGAAAAATCTCGGAGGGCCCGTGTGCAAGTTGCGCACGTTAAAGATTCCTTGGTGGTCTAAAATCGATAAGAGTAGGCTTCGCCCGCCACGCGGGCAAAATTCAAAATCTCCCACCAACTGAAAATATTAGGTGTGTCCCGCGCGCTCATAAGACCTATGCAGTTGCGAGCGCCGTAAAACACTTTACAAAAACAAAAAAAAAAAAAGAAAAAGAAGTTTTCTAAGTAATAATTGGACGCTGTCCTTGTGAAGATTCTGTAAAATCAAGAGAACATCGGTCAAAAGTCTATTCTGTTTCATTCCCTCTGATAAAAACAATGGGCTTGTGTAAATAAATTAATGTGTGTGGGTGGTTGGCAAGTGCTCTGGCGTGGTTTGCTCTTCTCCTACTCAAGTCAAACATCAATCGTCATTATCTTTCCGACTTTTTTTGACTTACTTATTAATGACCACAGCACCCTTTGGAGAGACAAACCTACAGACCAGAAAGGAAAAATAATAGAAGATTTTTTATTTCATTATAACATTTGCCTCTTAAATTAATGTTAGGTCCCCCACTTACAGAAACAGATCCACTTTTGGCGCTTCATCCCTTTGTACCCCTGACCTACTCCTTGATCTTGTGTGGTCTGTGTTGGATTACCGTAGGACCATTTCCCAACTCTTTATTAAAAAAACCCAACAACAATAGTCTCCAAAAACGACACGATCCCAGAACGCTTCAATTTTTAAAAAGCACACTGAGGCGGGTTCGCCATTGAATGCTCCCAGATTCTGAACCCCACTTTCGACCTCAATTACAACAAATTCCATGAAACGCTTCAAGAAATATGTCACAAATATATACCACCCTAAACACCCAAAACCCCGGAAGAACAAGATCTGGTTCTCAGGGGAGTGTGATGTGCAGTAAAGAAAAAGAAGGCAACATATCAGTATCAGAGAACCGTCGACAACACCACTACAGAAGACAAAATCAAATATTTAAAAGCTCAAGCTGAAGCACGTAGTTGCCTCGGGGAGAGCAAAAGACAATCCTTCAGAAAATACATTTCATTTCCAAAATCAATAGTCAGACACCACTCAACCAAGTTTTCAAAATCGCAACAACAAAAATTTTGGGTAGACGCACAGACACCGTCCGGTATGTTCATAGGCCAGGTGGAACCACAGCTTAATAAACACAGGTAGACATCGCAAACTCTATCGCTACATCTCTCCAAAAACTCACCCAAAGCAAACTACAACTAGTACAACACCGCCTTCTAAAACATCAAAACTAACAGAACAACAACACCTGCGCTTGCATTCAAACAACCCAGAATCTTTATTAAGGTGAACTAGGTACAGCTGAAATGAAAATTTTTGTTTGGGCTCTAAATTAAGTGTAATGGGATTCCCAATAACCAGTATGGGTCAAGAAACAGAAACACACTATCCCTGTATGATGTCACTGTCAATTTTTTGAATTTTTTAGATGCAAAGGGTTCGACAGACCAAAATTCGCGCAAATTGTTGGCAGGGATTCTGAAAAAGATTGAATTGATACAGCCTTGATATTATCACACAGAGTTTGTATATACAGCCTGCAACGTACTAAAGATTTACTGTCCTAAGTCTCATACTTTTCTTGTAACTGCCCTTTTAGTGTCATATACGATACTTGGACAAAAACATGATCACAAATCAGAGTTATACTGCCAATCTTTTTAACACTGACGGAAGACTTATTACAATATCACAATAATCTTTTAGTACGTTGCAAACATATTATCTAGAAACAGTCATGCAAAGTTGGATTCCGCTGCGACGAGTACTTTTAGAAATATCTCTGCCAAGGTGACCCACCCCCCTAAGAAAATCATAGTTTTTAGAAAACTTTAAAAAACACGAATTCATACCATTCTATTACCCCACAATGTTAAAATACATGGCATATGTGAGCACTTTATAGATGTTTTGGACACTTGAAAATATTTCCAATCGATAAAGCAGATGTTGCTCTACTAAAATAGTCCAAAATCGAAAAATCGGTTTTGGATACCAAAATCGACTTTTTAGGCTGCCGTGGTGTACCTTAAGACCAAGAACTACCCATTTCATCATTATCACAGACTCCCAGAGCATCTTACGAAGGGTTGAGAAAGGGCTTCTTCGGAGTGAATGGATGAACCCAATACATCACTCGTCGCTTTGAGCCATCACGTGGATATTCTGTCCTGGGCAGTCTGGAGTGAAAGGCTGATAGGCTGGCAGGCAGTGCCGTGGTTGATGGTGAGGTGAAATTTGACAAAGGAGAAGTGTTGAAGACCCTGGAGAAAAAGTTATGGGATGAAGAAGACAGAGAGACAGCAGAACACCACGCAGTCCTTAGGATGCGGGAAATGGGGATAGAGAGGGGAGACGGAAGAAAGGAACGATTATCTGGAAAGGAAAGACGTCGCCATAATCAGATAGCCAACAGAACAATCAGCGGGCTTTGGTGCTGAGGGGAACTGAGCACTTTTGGACCTGTCCGGTTTGCAATGATGTTGTTGCCCAGGACAGGTAATACAGGTAATACATAATCCTACAATGCAGACTTCACATTAGATGAACAAACATCATGCTTCTCGGACCTGAGCAATACAGCCCCGGGTTCGGATGACATCCATCCACAACCAGATCATTCAGACATTTACCCACAGAAACACTTACACTCCAACTAGACATATACAACGACATCTGGCGGTCGCTGTCCTTTCCGGAGTCTTGGCATCTCGCCACTGTCATTCCAATACCCACACTTTTAACAAAGACCACACGCACCTATCCAATTACAGACCAATAATACTAACGAGACGAGCTGTTTATGCAAACTTCTATAATAGAAAAAAAAAGATTCACAAGCGACTTTTGTGGTTTCTGGAGACGACGGGCTCGCAGAGCGGTCTCCAGAGCAGATTCAGGGAAACTCGATCCACTCTGGATCACCCGGTCCACCTGGAGACCTTTATACGCGAAATGTTTGCCGAATAAGGCCACATGATCGCCATTTTTTAAACCTAGTAAAAGCCCTCGAAACAACCTGGAAGTACGGCATTCTCCGAGACCTGCACGCTCCCTGCCTTCATTGGCAATTTCCCGAAGAACCATTCCTTCCAGGTTCGTGTCGGATTCTCCCTTTCAGACCCCCCCCAACAGGAGGAAGGAGTCCCCCAGGGGAGCATCCTTTCTCCTCTTCTATTCGAAATTAAAATAGATTCGATCGTTAAGACCGTCCAAAATAGCATAGACAGTTCGTTATATGTTGACGACTTCCTGATATGCCGAGTTCCAAAAAACCTTCAACTAAGATCTATGGCAAGGCAAACACAGCTGCACAAACTTTGAAAATGGGCAAATAATAACGGTTTCAAGTTTTCACCGTTAAAGAGGGTTGCAGTGCTCTTCCGCGGATCAGGCAGACATGTACTGCAGCCGGATTTGACGCTATACGGGGAAAGAATTCCTGTCCAGGACCGCGACAAAAAAACCTCACATTCATACTACA